GGGAGGGCCTAGGACAGGGCTTTAATATGCAGACAAGAGTATAAGATGATGCTGTGTTGTCCAGAGCTCTGGAACAAGCATCTTCTCAAAAGAGTTTCACTGGCTGAATCCAGAGAGAATATAGAGTACATCCTCCTTACTCTCCGAAGTCTTGGCTTGGGAACTTGCGAAGACCATATTGAAATGATGGTTTCTGAAAAGCCTGTTGTATTGGTGTTTATCAAAGCATAGATCTTTTGATTACTACATTTTCTATCCACTTGGCTAAACCAGCTGGCTGCTGGTCTGAGGGTTTCCTGGAGCTTCTGCTTATGCTGAGCCTCTTAAAAATTATCATCACTTTTCTCTTCCTTCATTCCCAATTTGAATATTTGGTAACAGACCATTTATTATGTTTGTGTGCAAGTAGTGTGGATTTTCTGTTGACTTGTTCTTTTGAACATGTAGATGAATACCAGATGGTCTTGATGCCTCATAGAAGACATTTGTTTTCAAAAAATTGAGTAATATCTTCGACTCATAACACATTATGTCATGAATGATGGTCCAAGACCTCTTTCTTGAATGTTGTCCTTCCACAGTGATCATCTTTTGACCCCTTTGTCAGGTTTCCTCATTTTGTTGTGTTTCAAGAGTTTTCACTTAGTTTGTAAAGCTGTTCTGGTGCCTCTTTTGGCCTAATTATGGTTTTGCTTTAGCTTGGTCCAGCTTGCAGTCATTTTTCTTTGCTTGAAGGAATAATGTCCAGTTTTAGAGCTGGTGGAGTTTTTTCCTTTTTTTTTTTTTTTTTTAATTTTGTTTTTTTTTTTTTTTTTTTTTTTTTTTTTTTTTTTTTTTTTTTTTTTTTTTTTAACTTAATTGTGGTTTCTTTATTTTTCAATATTTTGCTAATATCCTGTAGGCTTACAGTGAGCCTCTGACTCAGTGTCTTTGTACAATCCTAGTGCCACTTGCAAACATTTAATTTCATAGGCTTTTCCCCTTCATTTCCATTTAACACACTTTTTTCCATTAGACAGCTTCATTTTTTGAGTTATATATTGCTATAGTGTTTTGGAGGGTGTTTCCTTTTTTTGTCACTTCTGCAAGGCAACTGAATTTCACTCCAGTACAGAACCATTCTGTAATACTGATCATAGTCACACTGTGCTGTTCTGAGTTGAAATCACAAATTGTGCTGCCTCTTCTAAGTTTTCCTCAGAAAAGGGTATTTATGGAATCCAAAAATGCAGTCTCTGCATCATCCCTGACATGATGCTTATTTAGCTTGCAAGGGCATTGTCAGAATTTCTAACTGTTGTGTATTTTTGCTTTTGCAGCATCTCTCTCTCTTTTAACATTTTAAGTGACCTTCTGTATTTGGTGGTCCCCTCTGTCAACATTTATACCTACTTATGGAATTTTACAGGGCTTCTGCGTTCCTGTTGCTGAGTCACAGTTTTCTTTGAGGAGGAGGTCCACTTCTGCACTCCTCCATCAATCATTCATTTAAATTTTTTATGCTGCTACACCGCTGGTTATCTTCTTTCAGGAGACTCTTAGCAGCTAATCTTAGACATGTCATTTTCTATTTCAAGACTTTGGGTACATTTTTACCACCTTCTTAGCTACTTGCTCTTGGTTTTGTTGCCTATTCTTGTGCACACTTGAATATTGAATATGATGGTGTTGTTGTGACTGGTCCTTCACAAAATTTAGGTTGAAAATACATTCCTTCTATCCTTTATTAGTCTCTGAAGAGTAAGTCATCTGAACAGTGCTCTCTGTTGTAGTTGTTGACTTTCCTGGTAGTGTGTTTAAAAATTACCCCAAAGCCTTTATAAAATAAAGTGCCAGCAGCCTGATCTCCTGGAGAGATCCTCAGAGATTAGGACAGTGCTGGGTGTTTTGGGTGAAAGGATTCTGTATGATGTACCAAATTTTGAGAACAAGCTTATCTATATAGGTATTAGAGACCTATCTGCCTGTATAGAGGTTGCAAATTAAGTAAGAGGGTCCATTAATGTCCCTTATGACTGATGGTGTCTGTGAGGAGAGTAGCACGGACTTTTGCAGAACTAACCTTATTTGACATTGCTTTATTTTCCATTAAGTGTAAGGTGTAGAGAAGGGAGAGGTTATTTTTCCCTTTCTAAGACATCTGCTAAATGTTCTGGTTAATTGGTTACACTGTTTCTGTGGACTGATAGTAATGTGCCCACTGACCTCCTGACAACTAGGCTAAAAATCTCCTTGTGAAAGGTAAAGTATATGCAGTGTAATAGTCATAGTGTAATTGTTGACAGCTTGTCGTCTTTGCTTAAAATGATATGAATAATCCAGGGTCTCTCAGTGTTGTTCAGGAAATCCTCAGTTTTAGTAAAGTCAAAGGGCCTTATCTTTGCAGAATTAATAGCATGAGTTGCTCTGAAATATAAAATGTAGCTCCTATTGCTATGATTTTTGTCCATTCTGTTCAAAGATATAATGAACTCCTAATGGATAAAAGTTGCTTCTTTTTGGGGGAGGAGAAGAGAAAGCACAAAACATCTGTTTATGCTTAGAAAAGTTGTTCAGGAAAATTCTTCTGAACAGGCCAACAAGTAGTTGAAGAAAGCTGGGGAAGTCTGTGACCCATTGGGTAAGTGATGACTGTAGGACCTCCCAGAAAAAGATTTCTAAACAATTTGCAACACAGACTCTCAATACCTTCTCTGCTAGGTATATCAGATAGATCCTTTTCCAGGATGGAGCAGCTGGAGGGAGACTGGAAAAGATTGAATTGCAACTGTGGACCTGGAGAAACTTGTGTCAGAGGTCAGAATGAAGCATGGGTCTCTCCTGTTGGTTTGCTGCTGTTCAGCAGCTTATGTGGCTAGCATGTGATTGCAGCGAGAAGGAAGCCAAGAAGTACCTAGCACAGGAATCCAGCTTAGTTCTTCCAAGAATGAAAGAGTGGTAAGACAAAAGGTCAGTTTCCAGTAAAGTGTTTGTCAGCCTTACTCAGGAAAGGGCGAGGGGCACATAGAAAACCTGATATATGAGACTCAATATGACAATACGACTCTTCCCTCAGATGGAAAGGAGCAGTATTGAGAGTCGCTTCCTCAAAAGTGAAATCTTTAGAAATGTTCTGGAGATAGGAATGAAGGCCAGGCTGGCTGTGTGTCCTGGGCTGACCAGGCACACCAGAGGTACAGGCCTGTGCTTGGCCACAAGGAGGGCAAAATAAATGTGCTGCAGAGACAAGCAGGCTTTTGCCCTCTACCAGCCATCTCTGTGAGCCTGTGTTTCATGCCATTACCTTTTCTGTGCAGCTGCAGGCTTGTGTAGGGAAGGGGAGGTGTGAAATTTGATGGAGATTAGAGCCTGAAGCCTCTAAACCATAGAGCATAAGTTGTGCTCACTGTAATCAGTGGGCAGTGCAGAGGAGGAGAGTCAGCCTGACTCGCTGTGATGAGAGGCTGCGCATAGGCCATATCTGAGCAAAACTGAGCTCTGGCAAGTTTAGTCCTGTGTCAGTGTCTGTGCCATGAGGGTATTAGGAAGGTTTATCCTTCCTAATGATCTTTTAAGTTTCCTCCTAAACTCTTTCAGTCCTTGACTTGCTATCTGGGATGGCACAGCTTGGCTTTGTCTTCAGTCTGTGTAACCAAACCTCAACTGTTCTTATTCTTGACAGTGCCTTGAACTGGTGGGGCACATCTGAAATCTCTCAGTGGCTCTCCTCACTAGCTCCCTGCGATGTCTGAGAGACTGAATTTAGTGTTGTTATCTGTTGCTGATCCTGACCCAGGATATTCCAGGTCCCAGTGGAGGGTACTGTTTGACACAGGAGAAGTTTGGCCAGACATGGTTGAAAGTCACTTGTTTGTAAGCTAAATGTGGTGCCTGAGAGCAGCAGATAGCTCTGTTTTAATTCTAAGCATTCTTCCTGTCTGAAAAATACACCAGATGGATGGAGGAGTAGGGATTTGGTGGCGAGTTTTCTGGGTCTGAGAGGCACAAGCTGATTTTTAGCCTAACTACAAGATATGGCAACTGAAATATATTTGTTCTGAGATCTTTGTCTTGGCCAGTAAGTCAGTCTTCCAGAATGAGTCTATCAGTATCCCAGAAACACAGATCTATGTCAGAGAAAGCATGCAGAAAGCACAAGGTTTTGCTAGAAGACGGCCTGAAAAAGTTGTCCAAGCTCATGCCTGGGTTACAGGGCTCTTGGGTCTTCTGCTCTGTGCTGATGTGTTTCCATGAGGTTTATGGGCTGCACAGAATTTGTCTTTCTTAGTCCTTGCTTTCTGTACACTTCAGAGCAATTTATCCAGGGACGGCTGCCAAGCTCCATTACTAAAACAACCTTGACATCTGGGGTATGTGCTATAAACACTTCCTTTGCTTTCAATCTTGATGCTCTTCTAGGTTCTCCTGGTTGTCATAGGTGAGCCTTGTCTTGGGAGGCTGCTCATTTGAAACTATATCAAAGTTGGCTGAACCAGATTAATAGTTCAGCTATATAGAGTGGTTGGGTGTCTTGGCCCTTGCATTTACGTGGTTAGAAAATAAATTGGTTCAACTCATTAGCTCATCAAATACTGTGGTTGGTTTGGATGGTCTTGTTTTCTGCTATTTTTAATGAGCAAAATTGGATTACCAGGTGATCAGGCCAGGACTAGAGCAGAGGCGAGGTAAGGAATAGGATGAGTGTGTGAACAGTAGCATATATTTGTGGGGGAGGTCAGGGCAGGCAAGACCTCCACTTCGATGAAGCCAGGTATTCATTCTGCAAAATTGTGTTGTAAAACCTTACCTTGAATATCCTGACAGTTGTAATTGCAGTGCGGAAACCTCTCTTATGGCCTAATTGAAATGGATATCTGACTTTTAATTGTTGGGTGGTAAAGAAGATTTTCATCTTGGTTGTGAAATTGGATTAGGCTCAGTTGAGCCTGTACTGAGCTGAAGGGTAGTGGCACTGTTGTGGTTTCATGTCATGCCTCTGTTTGTCCCCTCTCTCTCCTCAGCTTGGCATCGCTGTAGGCTTTCTGGTCCCTCCAGTTCTGATCCCTAATGTGGAGGATGTGGAGAAGCTGGCCTACCACATCAGTGTCATGTTCTTCATGACTGCAGGTGTGGCATCAGCCCTGTTCATCCTGGTCATCATAGGTAAGGAGGTGGGAATGTGCCCATGAAACCAGATGGGACTGAAATCAACTGATGTGTGACAGGGGCCTGTGTGCCAGGAGATGTGCTGGTCAGGCCATCTGGTGAGGTGTCCTACCATGCAGCTGACAGGGTCATGCAATACTTTATCTTGCTGCTTCAAACCCTTGATGAACAGCACATGTAGAAGGGAGGTTGTCAGCAAACCTGCCAAATTGTTAGTTTTGTCCATTGCTTGCATAATAAATTCCAGGCATGAGTAAGTCCTTTAAAAACCAACAGAAGTCTTCCATAGTCATCTTCCCTGCAAGCAGGATGCTGGGCCTTGGGTTATGTCTGGGACCTGGCTACCCCTTAAGAGTAGAAAGAGGCAAATTATATGGCATCACAGGAACAAGCTACTCCCAGTTATGAGTGGAAAGGAAAAAGCATGAAGGACAGTAGCAGGACACAAGAGGTGCAATTCCCCTGCTTAACACGTGAAGTTAAAGCCAGATCTTTAGCATGAAAGATTGGCATGCTCACTGGAAAACTGAATTTAGTTGCTGAATTCCATGCAATTTTTTTGATAGGCTCTTCTTGCCAGTTTGTTCATGTTGCTGATGGCTGAATCAGATGTAGACTTCAGAAAGAGTGGGGCAGGGAATAGACAAGATGTAAAAATGCCTGTCTAGCACCTGGCACAGCAGTATCCCCTGTGACTGGGATTTCTGGATGCTACTTTAATGATAGTAAGGGGCAACAGATGGCTTGGCCTGAATTAAGGCCAAGGTTATTGTTCCCTGGGCAAAAACCTTGCAGAGATTATTGTTCCTTGGCACTGGCCACTGCAGAACACTAGGCCACCTTTGTCAACTGACTTGTCCAGTTCCGCTTTGACATTTGTAAATCCACATAACGCTTTAGCACCTGGATGGGCATCCTTCTAGAAACAAAGGCCAATAGTAGTCCTGAAAACTCTTTTGGTGCTGCTGGACACTACATACACAAACAGCTAATTGAAGGCAAGATGTTTACCTTGGGAAGGTGGCAGGAGTTACTGCTGGAAGAGAGCTGTTCTTTCCTGTTCCTGAATAAGTTCATTAATGGAGATCAAAGCTGGTGTGATTTGTACACTGGGTTCTAACAGCTCCTATGCCATCCCCTCAAATGGCACAGTGTGTGTTCAAGCCCCTCAACTGCACCATTACAAACAGGTGTACTTTATGTCTGGTTTCAGTCTTCAAGGAGAAGCCCCCAAACCCTCCAAGCCGAGCTCAGGCCTTGATCCAGTCAAGACCGACTGTGGAGTATTCCTACGTGAAATCAATCCTCCGCCTGCTCTGCAATGCCAACTTTTTGCTGCTTATGGTCACTTATGGTAAGGTCTGGCCTCCTTGTTCAGTTATCACAGCTTCTTCCTTCCTCTCTATGCTCTGCTGGGACAGTAACTGGCTTGAGTTGTTTTAGGGAAACAGAAAGATAGCTCCTCTGTGCTGCCACAGATCAGCAATCCTTATAGCCCAGTACTCTTCAGCAGTGGTTACCAGTGAATGCAGCAGGGAAGAACAAAAGGAAGGCAGGCACACCACTGTTCTCCCAGTCTTTGACTGTTTGCTGTTCATGGGGTTTTCTTATCTGTTCTTTTTTTCTAGTAATTTAGTTAATTGCAGCAAACCTATCTAAGTGCTTACATAAGAAATACATGGAAGTGTCTGAGTGCAAGTCATAGAACTGAGTGAAAGTCATTTCCAAAGGCAAGGATGTGAATGTGAATGTGACCTCTGTAGAGGTCATATGGAATATGCAGATGTGCAGACTCTGTCAGCTTTCTAGGCGGTCCCTGTGAAGCAATTGGAAGAAAGGACTGGACAATATCTTATGCCATCTGTTCTTTCATGCTGAATTTGCTATTTGCTTCTCTTCAGCATTCTCAGTCTGTTTGTTTGAGGGCAGTGGGTTGTGTTGAATCTATTCCCTGATGCTGAATTGGCATATGGAAAAGTGTTTTTCTTACTAGCAGAAAGGCCATTGTGGTCTGTGCCTGGCTGCATAATAGGGTATACTGTAGCCAGCTAGTCTGTGGGTAGTTTTGTCCTGAGTCTTCCTACCAGCTTGCTCTGGAAGCTTCTCAGGGGGACAGTTAAATATTGCTGAAAGTTCTGCACGTTCTGCCAGCAATTGTATCTGAAAGATCTTGTGGATGAGTAGGCAGGTTGGAGAGAGTCAGATGGTGGCTTTGTACTTGCTGAGGATTCTAATGGTCTTTGGAGTTGTTGGAATCTCTGCTCCCTTCCTTCTCAGTGCATTATACTTCTAGAAATGCCCCTCTCAGATTGCTCTTAAACTCTCCTGGCTTGCATTGCAGCTGCTGGATTTGGCTTTTTTTTTTTTTTTTTTTCCCTATAGTACATAATACCCTCTCAAAAAGTGAAGACAGAAAAATCTGTCAGGCAGACTGTGTCTAAAGTTGGATTGTATCATCTGCTTAGTTCATACTTACCCTTCAGGAAAAAGAAAGGGGAAAGCATTTGCTCTAAGAGGCATAAACAAGTCCTAGAGAAGAGAGGAGGGTTCTCAGTACAAAGAGCTTGTTTAGAATCTGACCTTCCTGGGATAATTTTTTCTGTCTGTCACAAGCATTGTGGAAAATCTGTTCAGTGGCTCATAATTAATTTTCTCTTGCTGCTCGTCTGTGCATTTTTTCTGTTCCTCTCTGTTTTAGCCTCATGCCAATCTCCAGCTTGACTTGAGATGGTGACTGTTACTCAGAGAGGGAACTATGCTGTGAAACTTTTTTTAGCTTGTCTGGGTTTAAAATGGTGACTGTTTTTCCTACTCAAGTCAAAAGTTACGTTGGCTGAGATTTAAGACATCTGCAGCCACAGGAGTGCAACTGAGTCATCCTGCCTACCTAACACAAAGATATCTGTAGCCTGTTGGCTTTTGTGTTAGCATAGCATGTGTCAGGGGAGAGAGGGGCAAGCCTGCTGCTTGTTCATCTCTGCTGACTGTAGAAAGAATGAGGATCCTTCCACAATGACAGATCAGAACTCATCTGCAGACCTCTAAGGTTTTGGTATTACCAGCAGCCAGTGATTCCTTTCTTGTGGCAAGACTTGCAGTGCTGGAAACAGCAGTGTCACTGCGGCTTTGTCAGGTCCCAGTGAACTGTTTTTCAGGAAACCCTCAGAGAAACTTTTCCCCAAGGTTGCTGACATTGCTTCCATAAAACTGAGGCATAACAAGGAGTGGGCATTAAGGAATTTCAAGTCTATGGGGCTGGGCTTCGCATTGGAGAGCATGTTGCTAGTGGGAGGCAGTAGGCAGGAAAAGGGTGGGAAATTCTGGTTAAGTGTAATAGAATGGGAGTCATGAGACAGTCTTAAAGAATCAGCATTTGGAATGGTGATGGGGCAGTGAGGAGAAGGCAGGGCAGTGAGAACTGCATAAGGAACCATTGTTGGGGTGGATTACAAGGGTGAACAAGAGAGAGTCTGGCATGTAGGTAATAGGCTGGCTACCTGTGGGAGATCTAGGTTCTAGTCTGAGGCTTAATAAGGGCTCTGTTTGGAGCTGTAGGCAATAAATGTCCCTGTTCTAGCCTCTATAAAATCGAGGAGACACTGGGGTATCAAAAACATTATTCCACATTACAAGCAAACCATGATAACTAGCTGAAGAATCAGGTGGTGCTGGACTTTCAGATGTCCTGCTCCCAGCTACTAGTTCTGGTTTCTCTCATCTGCGTGGGCAAATGGCCACTTTCCCATTGGAAACAACCATTACCCGTTTTATGGTCATTCAAACAGCTGTAATTCTCAGAGAAGCTTCACTGAGCAACTGTGACATATGAAGTGCCTACAACTTTCCTCAGGCCTCACATATGCAAATTTGACACATTGTCTTGATTCTTAGAATGTTTTACCTGAACTCTGGTGCCAAGTGTTGCTGCCAACTCTGCTCAGGTTGGGAGCAGGGTCCCTTCCCTGTCTTGGAAATCACGAGGATCACAGAGCTGCTGTAAAGCTGGTTTACTGGCAGTGTTAGGTACCAGAGCAGCATCTGGCTGTCTTCACAACACTGCTGTCCTCTTGGTTGGGTGAGAAATAGAGGTGTGCAAATGTGTGGTTAATGTTTATGCCCAGCTTTAAAGTGAAGAAGCAGAAGGATTGTGCTGATCTGCTGTAATCGTTCCTTGCACTGCAGCTTGTAGTGTCACCTAGTGGGCGGGATGCTCCAGAGGTGGAGATAGGCTGAAGCTCATTTAGGGTGTCTTAGCTGTTTTGCCATACATAGCCAAGTGTTGCAAAGAGACAGCTTTTAAGGCTGGCGGGCGCCTCCTTGCTGAGAGATCTCCAGTTGTTCTTCCCCATCTTTGGCTGATGGCTCTGCTGAGTTTCTAGTCTTCCTGAGTAACTCTTGGTAATGATTGGGTCGATTCTTCTGCCTAATGATCATGTCACTCAACTTACTAGCCTCTACTGTAATCTTCTGATACATGATTTTGAAGTGGGAAACATTATTACAGGCAATATTTGGGATCACTTGCATAAGAGTCTTCATCTGTTGTCTGTGCCATACAGCTGTGGAGTGAGCTTTGCTTAATTGTAGAATGGTATAGAATTATTAGAAAGGCTCTTAAAGATCATCTAATTGCACATGTCCATGCCATGTGCAAGGACACCTTCCCCTAGACCTGGTCAGTCAGAGTCCAGTCCAGCCTGGCCTTAAACACTTCCATCTATGCCTTTGGGCAACCTGTTCCAGTGCCTCACGACCCTCACAGTAAATCATAATGTTGTCAGAGATGGTGTGTGAAGGGAGTGTGATGCATCCTCCAGCTGCCAATCTTGTGGCTCCTCATAGTGCTGTGTAGGGCAACAGGTGTCCAGTGTTCAGTGGAAGACTGGGCTAGGTTAGGTGCAGGATTGCTGAGTACTTAAGGGGAGATAGGGGACTTCAGGGTTAGGAGAGCTCAGGACTTTGCTCCCTCTGTCAAAGCCCTGCCTCATAGACTGTACTTCTGTATCCTGTCTTGTTAGTTTCTGCTTTTAGCTGAGGCTTAGAGAGGAAAAGTAGGAAGGGGGAACTTGACACGTATCTGTTTTGTCAGGATTTCAGGCATCTGTGCCAGACTTTTTAAAACCATGGCTCCTTTTGGAGCTTATAGATGTGTGAGCTGCAGTGGTAAAATCTCTCCCCTTCCCTCCACCCTTCAGAATCACTGAAGCCTTGAAGAGAAACCAACTGCAAATGTAAATGACTTTCTGAGAAGAAAGTTATACTGACTGTTACAGACCTCATCAGCCTGGGGAAGGTTTCTCAGTCTCACCCAAGGTGAGAGTGCAGCCCTTGCAGTACTGCTGGTCCAGTGCACCATGTGTATGTTCTTGCCTGCTGAGCAAAGCTGTTGGGTTTTCTGCCCTTTTGAGAAGGCATCTAACCAATGAGAATTGCATGTAAGATGGAGCAGAGTGTCTGAATAGGGCTTGACCAGTATCACCCCAACAGTTTCATTCTCACCTTGGGTGATACTGAGAAACCTTCACCAGGTGGTTGATCCTTGTAACAGTTAATGTAAGTTCTCTTTCAGAAACACAATTACTTTCATGGTTTTCTTTTCAGGCCTCAGTGGTAGCTTTTAAAATGCAAGGCTTTTCCTATGCAGACACTCAACCCAGGTGCCTGAGGGTTGTGCTGTCTGTGCTTCACCAATCAGCTCTGCTCCTACTTGTCTTCTAGCATTTCTTGGCTTGGAGAGAATGTTATTTACTGGCTGTCAGCAGGGAGAATGCTGACAGGCTCTTCTCTGGGAGGAAAACATACAGGTCAATGACACTGTTGTTAACTGAATCTCAGGTCCTTGCTCAAGGTATGATGCTGAGGCAGATGCTTTTCTAGTTTTCTGACTTGGCTGGTAGCAGAGGAGAACATGGCAGTGCTAAAAGATGAATCTGGCTGTGAGAGAGGGTTGAATCTCTGTGAAGGAGTTGCAAGACCTGACAGTACCAGAACTCTGCACAGTCCTTCCTCTAGCTGCTTAGGTAAGAACCATCCTGAAACTACATGGTTCTTCCTTCTGCATGCTGAGGCCTGGATGTTGGTCTGCATTTCTTTCAGTAACCTATGTCTAGCCAGTCTGGCTCACTCTCCTGAGACTCTGCAGCCTTGTTGTGAACTGATGGCCCCAAAGATTTCTCTCTCAGCATTTCTACCATTTCACAACCCAGCAGGAGAGTAGCAGGCCCTGAATGTGCTGCATTTTTATCCCCTTCTCAGGTCTGAATGTAGGTTGTTTCTACGCCTTGTCCACTCTGCTGAACCGCATGGTGATCCATCACTACCAAGTAAGTGCATCCAACCCTCATGGCCCTCTCTGATGCTTGCTGTTGTCCAATACAGGTTGGATCTGGCACAAATTGGCTGTTCCTTTTTGCCTTTACACCACCCCATTCTGAGCTCTAGAAAAAGTGATTCTGCACCTGAAATGAAAGCATTTACTTCTGAGAAAATCCTCCAGCAATTTCCTCTCCTTGTTTCTGACTGTGATTCCTGCCAGGACATCTGTCCCAGAAGGCTGCCCATGCTCATGCTCTGGTGGCAGAAGGGTGGGGTGTCTCTGTACCTGAGCTATTGTACAGCTTACTGCTAGTGCTGCATGCCACAGAGCTCCTTTCTGTGCTGCCTTATAATGAGTCCCAGTATTTCCTAGTCAATCTGGCCCAAATCCTAACAACAAGCTTCATAGAGTTTATGCTAACTCCTCTGAGAGTATCTGCTCACGCTGGCCAGTTGCACACATTTTTCTCAGGACTGGCTCAGACATAATTGCCAGACCACCTTTTTTTCATGGACCAGAAGCACTGGCTCATAGTGGGCTCAAAAGTGTTCCTGCAAAGGCTGCTTCTGGTTAGTGCATTACCAGCAGAAAGCATATATGAAGACTAACTTCGATGTCTCTTCCTCTCTGGGTTTTCTGCACTTTGCTTTTTGTTGGATATGAGTTAGCTCTTACACTTGTTTGAGTGTGTATGTGTCTCACCACAGGGGGAGGAGGTGAATGCTGGCAGGATTGGACTCACAATTATACTGTCGGGGATGGCTGGGGCTCTGATCTCCGGCATCTGGTTGGACAAAACCAAAACATACAAGTAAGTTTGCCTCTGTTCCCTAGTGACTGTGCTCTTCCTCCATACTGTGCAAGGAAGAACCCTGTGCAGTTGCAAGTTGGCACTATAGGGACTGAATCATTGGGAGGATTTGTAGGGAAAAAAATAGGGTTCTTCAAAATCCAATTAGTGTAAAGTGAAGTTTGGAGCTGTGCATTAGCCAGCACTAGGCCCAAACCAGACCTGGTGTTGGTGGTCCCTATGGAGGCTTACAGAGAAGATGAGATGGCCCAGTAACTACTTCCATCAGAGATGAGAGAGTTCTTGGCACAAGTAGAATCAAGTCTGTACCAGACCATTTGTCAGCCCTTACAAACCAGCCTCTTTGAGTTTTTGTCCAGCTAAATGAAAGGCACATTGAATCCAGTGCCCAGAGGCATTGTGCTGATGGCGTGTTGCTGTAATTAGGGCAAGCAAAAGGGTTATTGGGGTTACGGGTGGATGATTATGTTTGTTGCCCAGCGAGTTGGGAAGGTAGATCTGGCCAGCATACTTTGCCAGCTGCAAAGGGACAGTTAAGAGTCTTTGCTTGTCCTACAGTTCCCAGTCCTCAGAAATTTGGATCTCACTGAAACACCTCTGTAGGATATCCTAGGTGCTACTGAGAGACTCTTGTGTCTTATACTGTCCCTCCAAAAAGGTCCACCCACCTCTTTGGCTTCTCTGCTGGCTTTGAGAACTGTGCTACAGCCTGTTGTCTGAGCGGGTTGGGTGTGAGGGGGCTTTACTGGTGATGGGCTGGTAATGACTTGAAAAGCAATTTCAGAGTTTTATTCCTTGCAGCAGCTTTTCATCTGGGGGAAGTCCTACTGCCATTATCCTACCCCATATCTTGGGCCAAAAATGCACATTCTCATTGTAGACAGCTTAGATTAATCTGGCGAGCTGTGAGCTTGCAACTTCTGAAGTGGCCTCTGCCCCTAGATCCCTGTAAAGCACAGGGATCAGAAGCAGAAAATTGGCTTCTCTAATAAGAAAGAACAGTAGGTGAGGACTTCTGGGATTGGCAGGTTGTTTGTTGCTGTGTCTAGTTGGTTGTGTCTCACTCAATAGTACTCATATGGGAGTCCTGGGGAATAGAAATACAACTGTTAGAACTGTACTGCTATGTGACTTGTGTTTCTTTCCAGCCCAAGGCTAGTGGTAAGGTAGCCTCAGCTGGTGCTGCTAGACCAGGTATCTTCTTCCTGGTTCTCCATAAGTGAGGTTAGGTTGCAGCATGAAGACTTGAAGAGCTTTGTGACTCATCATGTGGAGCTAGGACTTGAAATTCGGTAGAATGGGAGAGAGAGAAAAATAACAGTCCAGAAAAAATAGAACTATGTCACCTATGGAGTTTATTCTACAGACCCCCAGGGACTATTGGGAGATAGTTTTAGCCTTAGGTGAGGAAAACCCTGCTAAGAATTTGTTCTCCATTACAGCCTACAAAATGGATTTCTGTGAAACTAGCACATTTTTTTTCTGAGTGTTACATAGTCTTTATTTAGCCCCATTTAAAAGTCTATTTAAAAAACTGTCAAGATGCCAGATGTTCTAGGTGGGTACCCTCCCCCTTTCCTCTGTTGCTGCAATAGTGTCAAGAATAAAATGGTAAGCACATGAAAATCAGGAAGGAAAGATATCAAGTCCTTTTTTTAGTCAGCTTGGAAAGAGAGGGAAGCAAATGAATGGGATCCAGCTGTGATTGAGGGGAGCAGGAGGAGGTTAATAACAGAAGGAATTGCAGAGCTCTACATGCATGTTTGATCTTTACTGTACCATCAGCACTTATTTGAAAGGGTGAGGCTGTGCTAAGTCAGGCTTTCCCCATCTGTCATGCTCGGGCACCAAATGGCCTTGCACTCTTGCTTTTATTTGGCAGGCAAGTCCCTGCAGCAGTCCCTGCACTGTTCTTGTTTTTGGAATAGCAGGTGCAAAATTGGTCCATTAAAATAAATATATGGGTTATATGGTGATGAGTGAGCAGTGCAAGAATTAGGGTTGTCTTTGGTGGTATGGCTTGTTGAGAACAGCCCACCTCTTTGAATCACAGGATCAGGAGAAGAGCCTTAACGTTTTGACATCAAGTTCCTGACTCAGAGGATGGATGAGGTTGTGACACCTGGAGACTGCTGGGTGCATTGGTGTTGGTAGGATAGTCTGGCTCAGAAAGAGGTGTTTGGGGACTGAATTAATCAGCACTTCTCTTTGGTTATGCTTTTCTTTAAAGTGCAGTAGTCACATGGCCTCAGGTCAAGCTGGTTGCAGTCAGCACTGTCAGCTTTCATTGTTGCATCTCTATAAGGCAAGATGTCAGAAATATCCATCTCTCTCTCCATTGACTAGGCAAGTGGTGTTTTAGGTCTGTACAGATGCAAAGTACAAAAATTTGGGGGAGGGAGAAAAGATGGTGGAAGATGAGGCACTTGGCTCTCTTCCACTGAAAGATGAGTGCTCTCTCAGCCTAGCCTGACCTGCAGTTTGGGCCTTCTTATCATAGTCTGTTTTACACGAGGTTAGTCTTTGTGCAGTGGATATGTCTTCACCCTGTCGTGCCATATATCTTATATAAATAATTTACCAAGACTGTCCTTTCTTCTGACCTTCATACAGGAAGAAAGCGGCATAAAACTGAATGCCAAAGGATAAGGCTGTGGTGAAAACCAAAGCCAATTCTCCAATTCATCCCTTTCTGCAGCATCTGACACCTCTGTGTCTTCAGCAATGGGATCTTCTGGGAGCACAGGATCAAGGGTGTTGTTCAGGCTTGTGTGCAGCCTGGAATGTGCTGTCCTTGTGGCAAAGCCTGTGGAGACTATCTGTCATCCCTGTCCATACAGCAGAGGATGCTGGAGCTGCACACAACATCCTAGTGAGCAGCTAAAACTGTTTTATGTGCCTGTGCCCCTCATCCCACCTCCTGCTCCCAGCTTGTTCATTTGTTGCCTCAGATGTTACTTGACTTTAATGTTTTTGCAGCTGCAATTCCCTCTGAGTCTTGTCCTGTCACTTTTGCTTTCCTCATCCAAGTGACCTTGTGAGACAAGGCTGAGTTGGGCCATATCCATTCCTTACTCTGAGGCTTTTTCTGGAGCTGATTGAACAGCAGGAGTTGTGTTCTTCATTTCAGCTGTGTTCCTTGCTGGTGCTGGTCCTGTCTGGCTTTTTTCCCCAAAGTCTCTTTTTTCTCACAGTCCCTTGTGTGGACTCTTAAATCTGCTTCTTCTGAAGGTTTGGGAATGTGACTGGGAGGGCAGATGAATGTCAGGGCTGGTTAGGTTAATCTAAGTGGCAAACATGTCAGGTCCTTCACAGATCTCCCTCTTGCTCTGCCACAGAGACTTGGCACTGGTGCTGTCATAATAATGCTTCCTTTCCACATCCCAGAGCACAGGGTTGGGTTAGCCTCAGCTTTTCTATGATAATGTGTAGGATGCCTAACTTCCAGCCTGTACTCACTGCACTAACCAGCCTGTTAAGTAGACAGTCTCTGTTCCCTGTTCCAGACTATGAAAATTGTCAGTCCCTCTAGAACTGTCATGGGAGTAGGTTGCTAAAAACAGCAGAATGCAGTGCTGATGTGCTCTGTGAGTCTGCTTCTCCTCCTTTGTGCTTTTCTCACTCCCATGAGATTTATGGCTATGATAAGAGACTTATTAAGCTAAGACTGGGCATTCTTCCATGTCCCAGTGCCCCTGGGGCCACAGAGCATTCTTGTTCTCTGGTGAACAGGGTGTCAAAGGCCACTTCCTGGGAGCACTCTGCCTCTGTGTCTTTCCCCAGGGGATTTTGTTTCCCTATGCACCAGTGTCTACCAGTAACTCAATTAAGCCCTCTTCAAAATTTTGTGTCTTTCTTGGACTACTGAGCACTAATGCTCATGGGAGCAGAGTATGGCAGAAGTCTGGCTTAGGAGAAGTCTGCTTGTGTGCTTAAGGCTATTTCCTGCAGCAAGATTCGCATTCACTGCTGTCTGTTCAGATCCTGTGAGGGTCTGTGGTGAGCAGGCAGCAGTTCGTGGGTTCAGGGCGCTTCCTGGTCTGTATTTCACACAACATTCAAGCCTGTGGTCCTGTTCTTTCACAAAGGTATGTTGATTATTTTTGTCCTTCTGCAGCCTAATGATTCAGGGAGGTCAGTGAGGAAAAGTTGCTAGATGAGGTACCCATGGTAGGATCAGTTTTCTCCATTTTGTCCTCTATATAGTTCTGCAGTTTCAGTGAGGAACACCTTCAAGAGTTTTCCTGCAGATACAAGTCTGCTTGCTCTAGCTCTCCGTGGGGGCACAGCGTGTCCTGGGAACTGAACTCTTCTCTTGCAGCTTGACTAATGACATAGCATCAATGTGAAACAAAGCCTTGACCACATCTGGTCACTATCTCATTCTTCACCTTTGCCTGGAGATGAGGGGCAAAGTGCAACACTTGGCAACTCTCATGATGCTGAATAAGATACAAATCCCTTGGAATACTTGAACCATAAGCCTAGAAAACTGAGTGAGATTTTGTGTGACTATCCTGAGACCTCTGCACTGAGCCCAAACTGTCTGTGGTGAGAAAAAAATTATAAAACTATCCATGGCTGAGTGTCCCTGCTGGCAGTGACTAAACTTCCAAGGGCTGCAGCCACCTCTTGGAGGCCTGCACAGTATTTTAGCACTAACTGCTATGTAATTTGGAGACTCCTGTTTATGGAAGGAGCTCCCAGTTCAAACTTGGTTCATGTAGCCCAAGTACAGAACTGTGATTCTAGCTTTGAGTTCCTTTCCTAATTATCTCTTTTCTCCGTGACTGCTTGTCAAGCCATGGGAGGCATAAGAACTCATGGGACATACCTGAGGAACCTGTACTGAGCAGAAAAAGGCTTTTACTTGTATCTCTTTCACGCTCTGGGACTGCTCTTTTTCTGTTCAGTCAGTCTTTCAACTCTTCTCCTTCTGCAGCCTCCAGGCACTGTGTCAACCAGTAGCAGCTTTCTGCAATGGATTATAACAGAAGTAAGCAGTCCCTTTGTGTAGCCTTTACAGCTGAATTTTTCCTTCAGTGAAAACTTTGGAAAGAACATACTTGAGAAATGATACAGGATTGGAGGTTAAGAGATTTAACTACTCTTTTGATACACAACAAAATTACAAAACAAAATACACAACACGCCACAGCATGTTGTTTAGCCTTTCAAAATATTAAACGAGCCTGGTGAACCTTTTAAGTATGGATCAATAGCTGAAATCTGAAAGTAGCTTCTCAGGTCTATGTTTGGATAAGAATTGACATACAGGCATGAGCCCCACTGACTGCAGTCATTGCAGCAGTGAGGGAGGACAGAACCTTCTCTGGAACAGTCCAGATTGATCTGTAGTAATTCAGTGTACTGGAAATATTTTCTTACACATTGTAATACTTACTGTCTACTTGGGTTGAATTTTTGACAGTGATAATTTGCATTAAAAAGGAAAAGTGAAAATACTTTGAGATTAGTTTCTTCAGTGGAATTCTAGGAACTGATATCAAACACATTCTTTAATGGATTAAAACTTAAATTTGGGAGAATGTACACAAGTAGCTTGTGGTAATACGTATAACTTCTTCCTAAAAGACAATGATCAAGTTTTTATCAACTCTGGTAACTGTTCTGCTTTCAAAATCCTGGTGGAATTTCAGTCAGGTAAAGTATTAACATTTTCCTCCTTTCCCTCCTTTTCCTCCTCAAAACTATATACTGGAAAGACCTACTGCTGCTTCTTGTACTAGAATGAACCTTGTTTTTTTTAATGTGGAAAGGGTTTTCTTGGTGTGTAGTCAAGGATGACAATTGCTAAATGTTTTGTTAAAAGCTGGCCTGGGCTGTTCCTGTGTCTTGCAGTACTGAGTCCACTTGCATGGCCTGGCTGCAGGTTTGGCTGTTCCCAGGATCTGACTGGCACGATTCCTGAGCACAGGGTGTCTTGCTTGTGGCTCAGCTGCTGCTGGCTGTGGAACTAGCACCTGATAAATGTTCTTATGGCTTGAGGGTGAGGCTGTGAGGGCAACCTAGCTTGCATGTCACCTCTCCAAATACAGCAGGTAGTTTAAACAACAGAAAGGGGCAGCAATGAAAGCTGTTTTGGACAGCACTGAAAAATATAGGCCCATAAGACTTTAGCAGTGCTGACACCTCTTTCCTTTAAGTCCCTTCTTGAGAGTGCTTGATCTCCTTGGCTCCTGCTTAAGTAAGTATATTCAACTCACTATAGTACAGAGGATGCCCAAGAAAATTAATGATCTCTTTAATTGGCTCTTGTTCTCCTCCTGAAGTGCCATGTGCCATATATGACCAGGCATCTGTCAACCTGTAGTAGGATCTTTCTTCTGCTGCTGCGCTGCTTTGTGTGCCTTCCATGCTCTCTGTCAGTCCAGTTCCTCTGTCTGGGTATGAGTACCAAGAGACTCTGCAACTTATAAATGCTTTTTTTACCCATGTGCTACAAGCTATATATACTAAGATCAGTGGGCAAAAAGGAGGATTGGATGAAATAAAACCCTAATTGCTTTTTCTTGCAGGCAAACAACTCTAGTTGTCTATATCATGTCTCTGGTCGGAATGATAGTCTATACCTTCACTCTGAGCCTGGGCCACCTCTGGGTGGTCTTTGTGACTGCTGGATTTCTGGGGTAAGTTCATGTGCAGAGTGCTTTCTTTGGCATGTGATGGGAGGGGATGAGCAGGGAGGCAGAACTCCTGCTGTGGGAGGGACTGGGGAGTGCCATAGCACCTGAACGGCTTCTGTATGGTTTAAGGACAAAATTATCTGCCCTTCCTATTGCTGACTTGTATGTGCTTCATTAGAATAAGGGACATTACTGTGACCCTTAATTGTTCAGGTAATCAAGTGGAAGCTTTTGGAAAGCAAGTGGTACCCACAGCCCCATAGATGATCAGTGGACAAGAGTGAAAAACATGTGGGCTGGCATGGCTGTTTGACTGTGCTGAGGGTGATGCACCTTAGAGTTACAGTCTATTCTGTACCTCTTCAGTCTTCCTTCTGGCAGTTGCTGAGTCTTCCTTTCTGTGTACTTCATTACAGGTTTTTCATGACAGGATATCTTCCCCTGGGCTTTGAGTTTGCTGTGGAGTTGACATACCCAGAGTCAGAAGGAACGTCATCAGGGCTCCTTAATGTCTCAGCACAGGTAGGTGTGCTGTTTTCCCTTTGCTTGCCTCTTTTTAGGCAAAGAGATTAAATTGTAGTTCCAAGCCTTGAGTCTTTTTCTTGTCCATTATTGGTGTAATGTAGTGCAGATCTAAGCACCCCGGGACCTGGCTTTTTGAATGATGTTCCTCATGGCATTTCTGTAGTGGCACTCATTCTGTTTCTGTTTAAGAAAATACTTCAGAGTGCCAGTCATCCTTGCCTTTTCCAGCATAGCTCTTAACAGTGCTGGCTCGTCTCCAATGAGAGATGAAGTTCCACCTCTCAGGATCATCTGTCATTCCATTAGCTGCAAGAAGGTGCCTCTAGATGTGTTTATAACCAACTGTTGATTGGCCTGTATACTCTGATACTTGGTAAAGATTGGAAAGAGTTTGCTTTATAACAGCAGTACACATTTGTTTGTTTGTAGATTTTTGGTATTGTCTTCACCATTAGCCAAGGGCAAGTCATGGATCGCTTTGGGACAAAGGAAGGAAACCTCTTGCTTTGTTCTGTCCTGTTCCTGGGGACTGTTATGACAGGTAATTAAAATTTTCAGTGTTCTTCTGCTCTGACTTTGCCTTGGGCTTGGCACATTAATTGAAGTTGAGTCAAGGAGTTAAGTTAGAAATGTACTTAGCAAAGATCATATGCTGTGATTAGAGTTTAACAAGGAAACTAATTGATACCAGGTGGGGATAACTGAAACAAGGTTGGGAAAAACAGGTGATATAGGAAGTATTGTAAGAGTGCAGTAGCCATAAATACCACTGGGTTCTAATAATGAGAGAAGGTTTGGACTGTGACCAGCAAGTCAAGGAACCCTACCAACTAGGCACAGATGCAGAGTTTACAATGAGGAAGATGTCCTACTTTCTCCCCAGAAGCCCACTGACCCAACTAAAGAGGACAATTGTGCAGCCGTAATGGATATTCAGCTAATTATAATACTAGGTGAGAGCTAGTATTTATGTAATAAGCATTGTAGAAACCATCCTGGAAACCATTTGAATATGTAAAATATTTTTGGATAAATAGAGAGCAGAAACTTGTGACTTTTTTGCACATTCCTTTGGAAATGATTCTGCATGTACCCTCTTTTCAACTTAATTAGTTGAAGAGTTGTCCATGCTTCACAGTGCCTACAGGAAAGGGCAGAACCCACACAGCAGTCCCATAGCAATGCTGTTCCTCTTTAAGCATCTGGTCTGCTTACAAAGAAGAGCCAAGGCTTTTTTCCCTGGCTCTGGTTGGGGTCTCAAAATTGGACCTTCTACATGCTGCAATAAAGAATCTCTATCCTGCCTGTTTCAGAAGTGTTCTCAGCCTCACTCAAGAGAGTGGTTTCTATTGCTTATTGTAATGTGTTTCTGTCTCTTCTGGGGCTTCTGCTGCTCATTTGAGTCCTGGGGAATTGACTTGGGCCCTGTGGTGACTTGACTGCTTTCACATCTCTCTTCCTCCCTCTGTTCCAGCATTCATTAAGGCTGATCTCCGAAGACAACAGGCCAATTTGGAAAATGAACAGACCGTGAGTAAACTCCCTTTCAATCCCTGCTGTGCCACTGCTATTAGTTCAGGACAACACCCAACCTCTGTTTTTTCTAGGAAAGGGGGTGGCTTGTGGGGAAGCTCCTTGTTGGCATTTTCAGACTGGATGTAATTGTAGATCTCTCAGCTGCTGGGGCCTCTGCTCAGTGTTAATATCTGTAGGCTCTAGTCCTCTGGGATTCTGCAGGGCTTCACACATCTTCATACCAGCTAGGGCCAGATGTAGGGCAGTGTTGTGGTCACTTCTCTCCCTTGACAATGTGTTGAGGCCTTCAGTGATTTGCTCTTTTTCAGAGCTGAGTAACTATTATTCTAGGCCCCTAGGCTGGCAGGTTATTTCTCTTACTCCTTGCCCTCAGCTGCCAAATGGGGTTCAGTGTATGTGCCTGGAGGTAGATAAGGTGACAAAGCCTAAGCGAGGGCTTGAGCAATCTGGCTGCTCACATTTTGCATAGTGCTGCTGACAAGGCTGCTAGTTCTTACTTGCACACCAGAGCTTGGGGTGTGATGTCCCTGTGGCATTCTGTGCAATAAATGCAGATGTTTGCACATGGGATAAGGCCTCTAGTGAGCTAATTGCAGTGGATACTGTCAGAAGCTCTCCCTGAGGGAAAGGGAGGGGGACTGGTTGCTTGGGGCTATTTTCTGTATTATTCTGGGCTCCTCTTCTACAATGTTAGCAAAGATATCCATTCAACGTTCAAGCAACCATCAGCAACCATGACTAGCAAAGTGTGAAAATCTCAGTTCTGTGCTGTCTTGAGTCAGGTCCATTCAGAAGACAGTGCTGGTGGCACTGTGAGCTGAATTCATAAAATGGATGTAGAAGGCCCAGGAAAGGGCCTGAGGTCCTTTGACAGTGAAGGTGATGCCTTCTAGTAGTAGATCCTTTCCCTTTATCAGACATTTCTCTCATCAGATGAATTACACATTTTTGCCTAAGTCCTTTTTAGTATAAATAATTTTCAGTCTAAATACTATTCTAAGAGCTTGCTGCTGCATGGGGAAGAGCATTGCAACCAGAGCAAAAGTGGTGCAATGTCATTTTTATAATCCTAAAAGTCTCCAGAACTGACAGTAATAAGAAGCAGAGGGATGTGAGATAACAGGTCTCAGTCAGTGAAAAATTTCACTGGCAGCTCCTTCCCCCTGAGGAGATGTTCTTGGAGGAAGTCATGCTGCACACCCCCAAATGTGTTCTCCACATGGCTGAGCTCACCTGAGTATTCTCAAACTTAACAACCTGCTGCAGGTGCTCAACTGACTGGTGGTAAGCTGAATCTGGTATTCTGCATTAAAATGGATGCCTTGGCCAAGGGATCAACCAGCTGGGCTTAGGCATTGTGTGCTGCCTTTATGGAGAGCTCTGACAAAGTCAGGTACTGGGGCTTTTCCATGTGGCACAGCTGCCTTACACATGCTTGGGTGATTTTACTGGTTTCTTCCATTGCCTGTTTCACTTTCTTATTTTGCTCCGCTTTAATTTCTTTTCCTACTTGCCTCCATATTTTCTGATTTATGACTGTCATTACAGAGACTCCAAGGCAACAATCAGATCATGGATGATGGGACTGTAGCTTGTAAATCTAACCCCATCAGTGCCCCTCCCGCTCACTAGTTTAAACACACCAAGGTAGGAGAATTGCACTAATCTACTTCTCTCAATGCTCACACGGTGGCACAGGCATGGAGCCAGTGGCATTCATGGGGTGACTGCAATGGCTGTAGAGTATTAAGAATCTTTCTGGTCTTCTCAGGTACTCAGCTGAGAGGAAAGACAAGACAGCTTCCAAGAACAGTGGAGATCTCCACAGGCTCATGTCAACAGAGATGTAGGGATTCAGCTAGGTGCAGCAAAGAAAAGCCTGGTGCTGGAGCAGATGGAGAACTGAACTGTCAGTCATTTGTTAGGGAGAGGAGGTGCAGACATTTGGAGCCACTTCTCTGTCATTATTTTTACAGTCCAGATTCTAGGCTGGAGGTGATACCAGAAACCCTTTAAAGAATTGGGTTTTGATTACAGCCAGGGTGCATGGCCAACTTCAAGAAGGAAATTTAAAAACATGTAGCAAGAACAGAGTCGTTGGGTTGGTGCCTTATGCTATAAGAATGCCTGAAAATTGTGAAGCTCTGTGTTTGTTGATCTGTGAATCTCAGTGGTACTTTGCATTTTCTCAGCTCTTGCTTGGGATGGTAATGCTTTGCTACTCACTGTCCTCTGTTTCACACCGACAGGCTGATCTACTAATTTATCCATGCTACCCCTTGCTTTTCAAGATGTGATAGACTGTATGTATCATTTAGTGCCACAGCCAACAGGACTAACATGCAGAGCAAGTTGATTGCAAACTCCAGCCTTAACTCTCCTAAGATTAGGGTATGTTCTACAGGGAGCATGAAGCTTCTATGCTTTGATGGAAATATCAGGAAGAGTCCCATGGGCAGAGAGTGTTGGTAAATGGAGTTATATCCAGCTGGCATCAGCTCACCAGCACTGTGCCCCAAGGCTTAGTATTGGGACAGTCCTTTTTAATGCCTTTGTCAATGACCTGCATGAAGAGATTGATTTCACTCTTAGTCAGTTTGCAGACCAAGCACCAAGTTGGGCAGGAGTATTGTTGAAAGGTTGGAAGGGTTTGCAGAGGGAGCTGGATAGGTTGGATCCACAGGTTGAGATCATTTTATGAGGTTCAACAAGGTGAGTGCTGAGTCCTGCAGTGCTACAGGCTTGGATAAGAGCAGCTGGAAAGTTGCACACTGGAAAAAGACCTAGGAGTGCTAGCCAGCAGCCACTGAACATAAGCCAGTGTGTGTCCAGGTAGCCAAAAGGGCCAGTGGCATCCTGGCTTATGTCTGAAATAGTATGGCCAGCAGAACTAGAGAAGGGTTTGTCCACCTGTACTAGGTGAGGCTGCATCTCAAGTCCTGTGTCCAGTTTTGGGCCCCTCACTACAAAAAGGACATGGAGGTATTGGGGCATATCCAGAGAAGGATAGCAGAGCTGGTGAAGGGTTTGGAGCACAAGTCCTGTGAAGAGCACCTGAAGGAGCTAGGGTTGTTTAGCCTGGAAAAAAGGAGGCTCAAGGGAGACCTTTTTGCTGTCTACAGCAACCTGAAAGGAAGTCATAGTGAGTTGGGGGTCAGTCTCCTCTCCCAAGTAACAGGTGACAGGACAAGAAGAAACAACCTCAAGTTACACCATGGGAGATTTAGATTGGGTATTAGGAAAATTTCTTCACCAAAAAGGTTGTAAAGCATTGGAACAGGCTGCTTAGGGAAATGATAGAATGACCAACCCTGGAGGTATTTAAAAGACATGTAGATGTGGTTTTTAGGGACATGGTTTAGTGGTGGACTTGGCAGTGCTGGGTAAATGGTTGGACTCGGTGATCTTAAGGGTTTTCTCCAGCCTAAACAATGCTGTGGCTGTTGCAAGGAGAAGACTCAGAGTCAGTTGTGAGCTTCCAGAGCTGTAGAGTTGTGCAGATCTAACTTTCCACTGAAGCATTGTACCATTGGCTGTGTAGCAGTTTGTCTTCTATTGGCGCCCTCATCTGCTATGGTTATAATTAAACAACTGTTGCAGTTAGTAGATTAAATTAGCCTAACGGCATTGTGTACACCTTGTCCTCTATTAATTAAGCTGTAATGTGGTCCCAACAATCCTCCTCACTTTTGTCTGCCTCAGTTCCCAGAGCTCCAGCTGGCTTAGCTTTCTGTATCTCAGGACACTTGGATCAAACACCTGTTTTATGTGATAATGAGGCTCTTTGTGTGCTGCCCTTGTTGTAAATGCATCTGAAGTATTGTGCCTTAAGATTTCATAGTAGTGTCAGCTGATTCACCACACACACTATACTCATGAATATGCTGTGTACTGCTTGTGATTTGCAGCATCCATGCAAACCTTTTTGTATTGTTTCTTTGCATTAAGAAAAAGCATCTTTGCTGATCTTCCATAGTTTGTTTAGGACAAGTGTCCACCCTCAGTAGCTTACTGGATTCTAGTGAAAGCTGCACCATGCTTAGCCTCTAGTGAAATACTGCCAATAAAAAAAAGCTGGAATTTTGTGTAGTAGGCACAAATAATGTGAACTCATTCTTTGCTTTCCAAAGTGCCCTACTCCATTTCTCTGTTTACTGTGTGGTAAGCGGCCTTCTCCTGTACCAAAGCCATAGGCAGGCCATCTGCGTGCCCTTTTCCAGTACTGTGACTCAGCTGTGAGAGCAGCTTTCCTTTCCCAAGGTAGTGGAGCCCTGCAGACTGTCTAGTCTAAATCTCTGCTCCCATAGCTCCACAGCAGATGAGTGGTGCTGAGACCCCAGATGTGCTTGGGAAGCCTGTTCTGAGTTGCTTGAGTGCTTCCATGGTGTATTCTGGTGGAGTTTCTGAAGTCTAAATGCATATTTCCCCTTATTCCTATCTCTGGCACTACTTCAGGCATCCCCTACCCTTCCTGCTTGTTCAAGTTCCCTCTTTGCACTTCCTGGCTTTTGCTTTCAGACATGTCTTTGAAGCTTTCCTTATCTCACTCCTCTGCTTTGGGATATTGCAGCTGACTTCTGCAAAACCTTTTCACCTACAGATTGTGTAAGAGCCTACTCAAAATGAGACTGTTTCATATCTCTTCCTTCCATGCTGCCTGGATTTCTCTTGAACTGCACTGGGGGTGTGAACCTATTTCCTGTGCACCTCTGATTTCTGCCTCAGATGTCAGTCTTGCCTTACAGTGAGTAAACTCAGAGCCCAGGCTGCAGGGGACCTATACACCTTTACAAGTCTGAGTCCTGTCTTCTGAATTGGTGACAGCTGGGCTGTCTCCCTGTAAGGAGAATTAGAACTTGAGAAGTATGCTTTCCAAAAGGGGAAGAAAAAGTCTCAAGTTTAATCCTAATACACTCCAGAAAGGCTCAGAAACTGAGCTTGTCAAACTCCATCTAGGAAAGCTGAATTGGAATTAGAACAGTTTGGCTGTTCCATGAAGCTGAGGATATGGTGGTAATTGGGCAACAATCTCCATTTTCCTTGCTTTTCCTCTGGGGAAAAGCTCCCTCCATCTTAAGGTTCCAAGAAATCAGGCTAGTTCTTCCATATGATTTGTGGAGAAAAAAACTTAGGTATGTTTACCTCTTATTTCTTATGTCTCTTTAAGATATAAGTAGTGAACTTTGAAGAAGGCACCACTCAGTGGAATTATCTCAGCCATAAATCCAAGCTGGGGAAAGGGAAGAAGCAGGACAGAGGGTGCCAGCACTTCAGTGGGCAGTGGGAGTGGGAATGAAAAGATTTGGAAGATGAGCAAGATAAGCAATGTGTCTGGGAGTTGAAGAGGCCTCAAACATGCTGGAGTAAGAACACAGGGGAACTAGTGGTTGTTCTGAGCCTCCTGAGGATGTAAAGAAAGCAAGTTCTCTCTGGTGTTTGCACAGACACCGTGCTGCCTCATGGCATGAAGGAGTTCCCAGCACCTTCCCTCCCCCAGGGAACTAGCCCTGCAACTTCATGCTTTGAGGCTGACCTTGTGTCACAGTCAAATGTTGGTGAGCTGGCTGTGAGTCTGATACCTCCAGTGGTATCAGCCCCACAGTGAATTCGTAATGGTCTGAGGACTACAGCAAGTAGCTTAAACAGTGGGATGTTGCACTGCCCTGCTGCCCCAGTGCCCCTTCTTGGGCAGTCAGAGTTGGTAGAGAAGGAAGAGGGAACCAGCAGCACTCTCTGAGGATGGTGATTCTTCTTTGGGGATTTCTGTAGTAGCAGGGAGCTATGAACTACCCAGGCTCTGGCCAGCTGATGTCTCTGAAGCCAGGGTCTGGCCAGCCAGGATCCTAACCATATTGTTTTTCTCTGACTTGCAGAAAGTGTTGCCAGAAGCCTATACTATAGTCCTTGAGGAATCACGGCTGTGAAATGAAGGGGTGGCAAAGCTGGGAGATACAGCCCCCCTCATTCCTCTCCTCCTATACCTGCACCATCCTCCTGTCACATGCATGCCACGGGAGGGGAGCAGCCTCAGGACAGAAACCCTGTGAACTGCTTGTGGAGAGTGTTAAAGAGCAAAACAAGAGGGGGGTTGCTTTTGTCAGTTTTGTCCTTGCATCACGCTGTTCTGGTGTTTGGGAGAAGAAGTTGGGAAAATGCTATGCTTCCCCAGCCCTACCATGTATGCTTGGAAAAAGCATATGTGCTGAGAGGAAAAGTCACAGTACCAGGCTAACCCTGAGCATGATGGTGGCACCTTGCATGTGGCTGCGACATGAAAGGCAGAAGCTGGACCACACTTAACTCTGTAAGCATCCCTGGAAAAGCTGGCTCTAGGGAAAAGGGATTGCTCTTCCTTGGTTCCCATGATGCTCTGTGTTGCACAGGTAGTAGTAGAGGTCTCAGTATATTACCAGCAAGTGCAAAGCAGTGCACCAGCTGCTGCCAGCTCTTCTTTTATTATTTGGCTTTCCCAGATGAAGCACTCTTCATCTGGATAAACTTCTACTCGGAATTCAGCATGATTAAGATATAATAATTAAGAGATACTACATGCCTCCTTCTAGCTTGAGGCAAGGACTGGTTCTGCAACCTAAATCTAGCTCATCACTACATTAGCAACAGAAATGAGTCAAACCACTATTTCCCTGGGATGAGGACTGTGTCTTCCTCCTTAACAACAAAGTGCCTTTTGCGTGTTTCAACCTTACACAGAAACTTTTGTGAAGTGTTACACTGAGAAAAGCAGCCAAGGGTGTATTGCTCTTCACAGCCACAGAGAGGGGTATGATGGGAATCCAGCTTTGCTCCAGTGTGGAAGCTTCTCACTTCCTAATAGAGAACAGGAGAAGGTGCCTACTTACCAGCATTTGTGTCTTACAGACACTGCCCATCAGTATGCTGTTTATCTTCCAAACACAACTGTAGATCCTTTTATCACTTCTCCATCCTTTCCAGCATCCCACCCCTGCTGGAGACATCAAGTGTCCTTATATTACTTGAGTCAGGGGACAAAAGCTGTACTGAGGTGGAATGGTTAAAAATATTCCTCTCTGACAAACTATTTTTGACAAAACATTTTTAAATGAAATTTTAACATTTTTTGATACAGCCTGAGTTCAGTAAATGCTTACACAATACTCTCAGGCTCATGGTGTGATTCTTACAGGTCCTGTGCAAGGCCAGGAGTTGGACTGTGATCTTGATAAATTTTTTTCAAATTCAGCATATTCTATCATTAAAGTCCTATCTTTGATAGTCTGGGATTGAGGATGGGGTTTTAGAATGATTTCCATAGAAATTCTAATGTAAAATATAAACATTTGAAGTGTACAGTGAAACCTGGCATATTCATATTAAATGATTAAAAAAACAGTCTACATGTGGCTCATTTAATAGCCTGAAATGTTCTGCAAAACAGAAAAATCATCTTTCTGCCTAGTGCTACTACTGTGTTCTTTCTCTCTATTTGCTTCCTCTTTCTTCTGCACATCAATTGCCTTCCCAGCTAGGAATTCTTGCTGGGCTTTTTTCTGCATTCTGTGTACTCCCCACTGTTTTGGGCATAATTTTCTCTAGATCTGAGGAACCTGTTCCTGTTTTTTCCATCTTTTGTAGTTATAACTTGCTACACAGGCCTCAGTCCTCGCTCACAGATTCATAGTTTGAGTTTGCTGTCCACCAGCATGCTGCAGAGAGCGTCAACAACCCTCTTCATGTGTGTTACGTGAGCAGTCAGACCTGGAACTTTGTGGCAAGGAGTCAGGGAAAGGTAGGTTTGCTGTAAAGAGAGATGATGTATTCTGCAACATACAGTGGAAGGTGCTGTTGGCTCTGATCTTCTACCCACTGCTGTGTAGCAGAAAGACAAACAGCCCACTGCAGTTTTTGGTCATTTATTAGAAACGGCCCCTGGGGAACACACACATGCAAGTTACACGGCAATGCCAGGGGTAGCACCCATTCTCTCTGGTCCAGTGTTCAGCACATCCTGGATAGTTCTTGCATCTTGTCCCCACAAGTACACCGGGACAAAAGTCCTTAGAGCTCTGGGCATGCCAGAGACTTTTGCCTGCTACCCAGGGAGTCAGTCACCAACTGTCTCCCATAAGCTTTGACACAAACTCCACTGGGACTTGGTCTTTGACATCAGTCAGTTGAAATGTTGCCTGGACAAGACAAAAACAACTTGGTAATGACAGTGATTGACACAGTCTGACACTGACCCACCAGCGGGACTGGTGTCCTGGAGAAATTCAGCTGAGCTTTCATGGAAGTCTGGCAGTGAAGGTAGAAGATGACACTGATCCACAAAAATCCCTCAACTTCAGTTTTTCTTCTTGTTTTGTGATAGCGCTTCTACCTCCAGGTATTGCAGTCCAATCAACATCCCCATAATAGAGAAACCTGTGACGGAGATACAGGATGAATTGTGTAGAAAATGCTGAGCAAGAGATGAGGCATCCCCTCCCATCATCCCCACAGCCCATAGTTGCATGAGGAGTTTTTCTGGGCTATCATAGTTCCAAGGAGAGTATGCAGGGGGAGGATGCAGAGCTCTACTTACTTGCTACCATGAGGGGTGCCATAACTCCAATTGTCAAGGCGGCAGTGTGGTAGATGAAGACCTCAGAGAGGAAGTGAGCAAGGGCCAAAAAGAAGGTAAAGAGTGTGATGTGATAGAGGCTGTTGAAGAGCAGAAAAAAGAAGGTTATCATATCATACAATGGGCATGAATATGGCCGAGTAGAAAAAAACACAAACCTGCATGCTGCCCCGTCTGCTCTCACTGGCAGCACAGAGGGGACTTTGTCCCTTGCCTCGTGAGGTGCAAAATCTCCCTGGGCAACAGCTGAGAGGAGAACGGGGCAGCATGTTCAATGGTGCACTGGAAGTCACAGGCATTATCTGGCCTGAAGGAAGGTGAAGAGGGGAGAGCATGAGTAGGGCACCAGTGAAATGAAGTATGTGCACACACAAAAAGAAGGTAAGAACTGGATGAGCAGAGAATTAGGGTGACAAGACTTCTCTGACTTCAGGCTGCATCACCCAGTGTCTTCCCACTGGTGCTCTGCTACCCTCTATGGGCCACAGCTGTTGAAAAGGGAGCAGGTTCAAGAGATGCAAAATAAAATTCCTCAAAGAAACAACTGATTCTTGATAACTGGCATTGCCATCACCCCCTAGAAACAATATAGTTTAGTCCCTGCGCCTCCCTACCTCAGATAAGCCTAGGCAATCCAAGCACACACTGCCAGGTGAACAGTGACTTCTACTGCAGGGCCGAGGAAAGTACTGACAAAAGCATTTTAGCAACCGCCAATAAAGGCTTTGTCTAGCACTGACCTCAAGTCAGCTTGCTTGGAAACCCCTCTGCTAGCACACAGAGAAATGGTGTGTCTCCCACTCAGCATCAGGCTGCTCCTCAGGCCTTGTTGTCAGCCCCAGGTAAGAGTGTAGGGAAGAAAGCAATTGGTTAAGACCACTGCAATGGGGCACCTATAACTGTCCTAGTCTTTAACTAAGCTGTCATAGTAAAAGAAGTACTGAGCATCAGTCACACCACAACATTAGCAATTGCTTAATTAACAGTGCAACAACGCTATTCAGAAAATGCTTTCCAACCTGGAGCTCAGAAATTGGTGACAGTAAGAGGTTCTCAGATCCACCAGTTTCTGACTGAGCTAAGAACAGAATTCAAATGCGCAGGCTGTCCCCACAGAGGAAGAAGGGGGCAGCAGCTACCACACAAATCCCACACTGCTATTTGAGCTTCTTTAAGGGAATGCTGTCAACGCTATAGAAAGTTCAGGAACAGCTTTTGATTCCCCACCTCCTCTGTGCCGCCCCCTAAGCTCAGGCTGTGTCTAGCAAGCAAACCAATGGATTTCTCGGGTGCTGCTTTACATACGTCCTGTTACGGATGTCGATTGCGCAGAGGCAGCGGATCACTGATGACAACAGGGTCCAGACGCCGAAGGTCCGAGCCTGGAGCCCATTCACTGCGTAAAGAAGGAGGGAGCACATGGAGACCACGCACAGCCCTGCCTGCCACCCCCAGTGTCGCCGGGCCCCAGAGGGGGGACTCCGAAGACAGTGCAAGGCCCATGGCTGCAAGGACACCTCCAGGTGCCAGGGCGGCCGGCGCGGCCCTTACCGAGGCCGGGGCTGGCGGTGTACAGCTTCTCAGAGAGGAAGCCGTGATCGCGGAAGCTCTGCAGGGTATTCCCGGCGGCGATGACCGACACCATCACCAGCCAGCTGCGCAGCACGTTCAGGAACCGGCTCATCCTGCCGGCCGGCTCGAACCCGAGCCGCGCCCGCCGGGCCCGGCCGCGTCCCTGCGCGCTCCCGGCGCCGCTCCCGCCCACGCCACCGCCCCGCGCTCCCATTGGTCACTGCGCGCCGCCCCATGCGCACGCCACGCTACGTAATACCGCCCCCAGCCAATCGGATCCTTCGTCGCGCGGGAATCATGCCCGCCTCGTCCCCGCCCACCTCGCGGGAGCGAGTGAGCGCGCCGGCAGGGGGCGGAGCCAGTGCGCCTGCGCAGTGAGGCGGCGGGGCGGCTGCGCGGCGGGGCGGGGCGCCGCCCGTCGGTTGTTGTAGTAACGGGGAAGCGGCGGGAGGGGCCGGCGCTGCCGTGCCCGCCCGGCCCGGCGCCGCCAGCCGAGCGCGGGCAGGTACGGCTAGCACGGGGACCCGCTGCCTTAGGCGCTCCCCGCCGCTCTTGCTTCTTCTGGGGCCGCCGGAGGTCGCCGTGCTTGGCCTGGCCGGGCCAGGCCGGGCCGTAGCCGCCCCTCCGGGCCGGAGCGCCGCTCCTGCGCCGGTGGAGGCGTTACGGTGTCCGGCTGGCCCCGTGCGGCGGGGCGGTCCTGGCGGGCGTTTCCCGTTGGGCTGGGCCGGCCTGGCGTGGGTCTGCGGCCGAGGCGAGGCAGGGCGGGGCAGGGACGCGCGTTAGCGGTAAGTGCCCGAGTGGCTCCCACGGGCAGGTGCGGAATGATCTGCTGGAACGGGATGCTGCTTTCTGCACTCTCGTGGCTCCGAGGTGATGTTTGACAGATCACAGATGTTTAACAGACTTGTTGATAGTATTGTAAGAAATATCTACCGGCAGGAAGTGGTAGTTACCTGATACCTCTTGCTGTCCTGCTCAGCTCTTCATTCCTGCTTTTAATCCTTACTGCAGGTAACTGCTCTTGCAACTAGGCCTGGGCTGTATGAGAACTTCCAAAGGAAATGCCAGTTGGGATGGCTAAAGATCTGGAGGAAACTGGCTCATCCTCAGAGGAGGAAGAAGATGCTGTAGATGCACTGGAGTAAGTAGGAAAAGCCTCTGAACTGTTTCTATGTCCTTGTGCTTTCTGGTGGATCTGTAGTAGTTTGAAGAGACAGATGTATTCCTTACCCTCCTGCCTATGAAGTGAAAGATGATTTGTTTCAGCCTTAAACCTATGAGCAGGCTATCTACATCTGCAGCCTAAAAGACCACCACATTCATCCGGGATGGATGTGCAGCTTTTCTTGGCTGTTCTGAAGTCCATATTTTCATGGATTTCTTTCTGTCATGTTCCTAAAATGGGAATGTTTTGATGATACATGTTCCTTTTTTGTTGGGTTGTTTTTTTTTTTTTTTTTGGCATGTGTGGTTTTCTGGGGGCAGAGGTTTGTGGGTTTTTTTTGTTTGGTTGTGGTTTTTTTTTAGTTTTTACTGCTGCAGAGATTAGAAATCTGCTGTACAGTAGATTGATATATGATGTTTCATGCCCTTTTTATAAAATTTTTGATTTATAAAAGTCTTTTGATTACTACTAGACTTCATTTTTCTTACAAGTAACAAGTTGTAATATTTATTCCATCTTCGTTTAGTAACTTCTTTTAGCTATGCTTGTGAAGGGATTGCTCTTTTATTCTTTCCCATAGCAGAATCACTTGTTTCACCTGGACCTACTTCACTGTGTCCTGTTAAGGGTTTTTTTGGATGCACATTGTGACTGAGTGCTCAGCTGCTGACTACAGTGACTTAAGACATTTAGAGGAATGTTGCTTCATAGCAAGTGGTTGGCTTAGGTTTGCTGGATCCTCATGGATGGAAAGGTCCAGAACTAGCTTCACCTGGAATGTGACTGTAAGAGTATGTCTGCATCTGGTGACTGGGGGTCATGCTAGGAATGAATGACTGTCACCTGGAGGATTGAGCCTTGCTGCAAATCCCAGGACAGGCTTAGTATAAACTCCTGTCTTGTTGCCTCAGCTCATTTTCCACTTACATAAGGCTCTGGCCTGTAGTGTAAATTCTGGAAGCTTCTTGGGTCCCTTCCAATCTGAATAGGTAATTACACCCCAGTTGTAGGTTTTTTAAAAAAATACTTTGTAGAGGTAGCTGAAGCAGGTAGAAGTGCTGTGAAGTTAATTTGTCTGGATGATAATGGTAGTAGCTTTGTTAAGAGGACCTAGGCTACCCTTAAGAGCCCTTGTCCATGCATCAGGAAGTTGCCCATCTATCTCTGTTCTTTTGTTCTAAGTGTTTGAGGTGTTTTGTCTAGCTTTTCCAAATCTTTGGCAGACAATAATCTTTCATATACAAATGCTTTTGTATATCTCTGACAGTCTTTGTATTTCTTCTTGTTAGTGTAGAGGTGTCTTTCCAGCCCCTCAGTCTCTGTTTTCTGTTAACTTCTTCATGTTTTTAATTTCCTTGTGCAGTGGTAGTAAACAGCCTGAGTTTTATTTGCTTAGGAAGGTTGACAGATTTTCTTTATGTGATCCTAGAATTTGATATAACAGGTCTTAATATTTTTTTTTGTGTGTCTATAATTTCTCTGAGGAGATTATATTTTCCAGTGAACTCATGTTTTGTACAGAACTGATCACTGTATCTCAGAGCCTGTAGCTTAAGTGGTGCACTGGGGGGCATCGTTCTTGAATTCTGGTCATGCATTCCTCTGTATCTGGCAGGAGTTAAAAGGGAAGAATACACAGCTTTATCTATTGTGTTGAGCCAAGTCTGTTCTAGTCCCTCAAACTCTGCATTATTGCTTTTTTGTGTACTTCTGACTCCAGTCAGCCAGGCTGACTGCACTGATCCGCAGTTCTAAAATTGGAGGCTGGAATCTGCATTGCAAGGTCTGGTTATGTGGATACCAGCAACTGTGGTTTATCATGAATTATAGATCTCATTTTCAGGCTATAAATTCAGAGAACTGTAACTGTGAAAGCTCATGACGCCCCTCCTAAATTATACCCATTAAAATAAATACAGAACTAAACAGAATTAAACAGAACTTGGGCTGGCAAGACCAACTCAAAAAGAGGGTGATGTGAAAATTCTCCTTATAGCTGAGTACCAAGGGTGCTGTATTGCATTTGTGTGGCCAGTTTTAGTAGTGGGAGAGCTATGGTGGTGGGTTCTGTGAGAAGTTGCTAGAAGGTCCCTCCATCTCTGACAGAGACAATGCTCCAATATGGACCCACCACTGGTCAAGATAGAGCCCAGGAATGATGGTAGAAACACTACTGTGATAACATATCTATGAAGAGGAAAAAAAAGTTATTGTATGGGGGTAATAGTGCTCAGAATAGAGAGGAGTGAGAATATGTGACAGGAAGAGCTCTGCAGCCATCAAGGTCAGAGGGCAAGGAGGTGCTCAAGGTGCCAGAGATGGGATTCCCTGCAGTCTGTGGTGAAGACCATGGTGAGGTAGCTGTGCCCCTGCAGTCCCATGAATATCTGTGGGGGTGCAGAGAGCCACCTACAGCTCGTGGAGGAGCTGCACACTGAAGCAGGTGTGTACTCAAAAGAAGATTGGGATCCCACGGGAAGCCTGTGCAAGAACAGACTCCTGGGAGGGACCTCCAGACCCATGGAGAGAGGGGATCCTACTCTGGAGCAGATTTGCTGACAGGACTTGTAACCCTGTGGGGGACCCATGCTGGAGCAGCCTTTTCTTTAATTACTGCACCCTGGGGAAAGGGATGCATACTGGAGCAGTTTGTGAAGAGCTGTAGCCTGTGGACAGGATTCACATTGGAGAGGTTTCTGATGGACTGTCTGCTGTGGGAGGGACCCCATGCTGGAGCAGGGTACGGGCTCTCCCTGAGGAGGAAGCAATGGCAGAAAGAGCATGTGATGAACTGGCTGTAACCCCCATTCCATATTTCCCTGCACTGCTGAGGGGAAGGAGGTAGAGATTCAGAAATAAAGTTAAGCCTGGGAAGGAGGGAGGGGTGGGGGGAAGGTGTTTTTAAGATTTGATGTACTTCTCATTATCCTGCTCTGATTTTCATTGGTAGTAAGTTCAATTAATTTCCACAAGTTGAGTCTCTTTTGCCTGTGACTGTAATTGGTGAGTGATCCCTCTCTGCCCATAACTCATGAGTCTTTTGGTAAATTTTTTCTCACCTGTCCAGCTGTGGAAGGGAATGATGGAACAGCTTTGGTGGGTGCCTGGCATCTAGTCAGGGTGCAGTCTGGAACCAGCACAGATGCCTAGCATGTGTGTGTGTTGATTCAGCACAGGTAGGGCTTAGGGACAACCACAAAACTGCATCTTGAATGCAAAGAGTAAATTTCTTTTCGTTACCTTGCTCACTGGGGGATCCCCAAAGCAGCAAGCAGAGGCAGTCATTGTGGAGCTTGGTCCTTGCTAGAGAATCACTGAAGCTGCTGCTCATTTTTTAGGGATTCTTGCAGATGTATTTTACCACTGTGCTTTGACTTTTCCCACCATAGGGCAGAAGTCTCAAGCATGTTTGATAGAGTGCCTTGAAATCTGTTGCAGCGCTGTGCCATCTGACTTCAGATGTTCTACTTGTGAAACACACAAAGACAGCAGTTAGTATGTCACATGTGTTTTTCTACACCCAAGCTGTAAGTCATTTAGGCGTGTTTACAGTCCTCCTTACTAATCTTCCACTATTTTCGCCAGCATGTTTGCTTATGTCCTGTCCACAGGCTAGGTGGGTAAGTATGGAGAATTGCTGTGTCATTGTTGTGACTAACTGCTGCATGTATGAGGCTCAGCTGTTGCTTATACTCACTGTCTTGTCATTTCAGGGGTCATCCATGTATCAAGTGGACAGGTGGTGGCTGCAGGCGGGTCCCTGTCTTAGTATTTCATGCTGAAGCCATTCTGGCTAAGGACAGCTACCTCCGTCTAATTGGAGGTGAGTGCTACTCTGTGCCAGCGTTTGGCTTGAAGGCATGAGGTAAAAGTCTCTTACTGATGGTCCCTTCACTTTGTGGTGGAAAGAGGACATAGTAGGAAATTAGAATCCTCTCTAGTCTCTGACCACTGGGACATTCAGAAGTGCTTAATCTGTTGGTGAATGCTTATAATGTCTTTGTGATAGTGTCTGTCCCTCCACTGGGCCCTGATGTGTTTTGAGTTGTAGCTGTCTGCTTGCAAATTGAACTTGGAGGCCATGCTACAACTTAGAACCAGAACACAAATTCGCCCTAGCTAAGACCTTAAAATCAATCATTGCAGTGAGTTTTAAGAGCATTTCACTGGGAAATAAACAGTCAGCCTCGCAGCTGAACAAGAATAAGCTGTAGTGACTAATCCAAGTCTACAGCCTCACAAGCCCTAGAAGGCCATAAACAAAATGGTTCCTGGCAGCACTTGAGTTGGGAGACCAAACCTGTCTAGTGTCAAGTAAGGGAGAGCCTCTAAAGAGGCTGGATTGTTATAAACAGTCACTTCGGATTTGAAAAGTTAGTACTTGTGGGTGTGTACAGATGGGAGCTTGTTCTGGATGTGCTGAGTTGGAGAAAAGCTGAAATGTATTCAGCTTCCTTTTGTGAAGGTGCTGACACTTCTTTCTTGTCTTGCTTTTTCCTTTCTTAGGTAATTGGAGCTTTTGTTTCTAATATCCTATCCAAGCAGAAATACTTCTGGCTCATTGGGGTAAGGGGTGGAGAAGGTGGTTTATATGTGGAAACTCCTTATTCTTTTCATGTGAGTTACAAGTGTATTTGGATGTTGCCAGAAGCTGATGGTAATTGTAACTTGTGTTTTTACTGCAGCGTGGAGTCTCTTCTGCTTTTTCTCACACGGTTTAAGGAATTTGCTGAATAGAGCAACTTGTTGAATTTCCTCCAGCTTTGTCTTGCTCCTGATTATGATACTTGATTTTTGATTTACTTTTGTTGATAGAACATATTTCCTGAAGTTTTATTTAATTTTCACCCTTTTATTCTCAGTTTGAATACATTTGTAAACTGCCTTTTCTAGGCAGTTCTGTATTCTAGCATTGCAATTTCTTTCGCTACTGTCTTTGAACTCTTTTTTGGATTGCCACGTCCTTTTTTATTACAACTGACTTCTAGTCTTCTTACTTGCTTTTGGTTTATCTTATACCTCCAGGGCTGCCTATTGTCTTTGTTTTTATGACTTTCTACTTCCATAGTGAATTTTTATTTCCTTATGCTATTTACTTTTTCTTACTGTATTTGCAGGTATTTGTTGGAAGATTGGTACAGGTGAATGAGATGTAAACAAAAGTTCAGTACTTTTATTTTGGGTTTTCAGGATCTAAAAAGTGATCACATAAACTAGCCATATCAATGAGATGCATTAGACATGATGACTTTTAGTTAGAAATACCAATATTGAATAGAGAAGAAAGCTGAAATAATTTTTGGAGTGTTATAAAGCAGTCTGTATAATAGAATGTAAAAAAAAAAAAATGTGGGTATTTTTTAGGTTGCCCTGTGCTTTATTTTTATATGATTGGGTTCTGTGATACTACTATATTACAGCTAAGGATTGATGTAAGTCAGTTGAGTGATGCTGATGTTGGCATTTCCTATCTCCCTTTGCCTGTTATATGCTGCTACTCTCTGTGAATTAAGTGCAGCTGTACTGTCTGAGTCCTTTTCTTTGGTAGCATGACTTCGGTTTATTCTTCCAGGTGCAGACTCTAATCCCGTGTCTCTTTGCCTCCTGACAGAGCACTTCCACATGTCCTATAAGATTGTGCGGACAGACAGCCGGCTGGTTCGGAGCATTCTGACTGCCCATGGATTCCATGAGGTGAGTGCAACAAAGTTCTGTCTGATTTTGTGCTGGGCAGGGAGGTGATTAAAATGGTTTTGGATTTTTTTGCTGTGGATGTTTTTTTAACTCTGCAGGGTTAGAACCAGGAAGTTGATGTGGAAGTGGCCTCCCTTGAGATTTTTTGTTTTGCCTTTTAATGTACTCTGCTAGTCAGACTGAAAATATGTCATCTTGCTCCATCAAAGGAGAACCCATTAGTCTTAAGCCTTCAAAAATAAGGGAAAATGAATGCTTAAGTTTGGTCATGTGTCTTTTCTTTTTGCTTTTAAAACATCACACCCTTGGGAAGATCTGAAGGATTTAATTTCTCAGCCTTTACAAGCTTTCAGAAGTATTGATGTAGTATTTGACACTTCTCTTCTAGCACCTGTCTTGCTCTAAAGAATGTCCTGTATGCAGCTAATGACAATTTTGAGAGATGTGTAGGGTTGATTTTTTTCAGAATAATAGCAACTTAAGGAATTGATTGACAAGTCTCCTGAAGAGATTTAAACTGATTTACAAACTGTGTTTAAACCAGCTATGAAAAGAAGTCTCACAACGTTTTTTAAAAAATTTGACATGGTTATTTTCCATCATAGGAATACCTTAGAGTAGCAGTTTGGCTGGAGTTGCCATCCTATTAGAGATAGTAGAGGAGACTCTTAGACTAGAGTTGCTTTGGCCTTATAGATCTAGGGACAAAGTGGTGTTGCTTTTCATTAGTTCAGTGTTTTTGTATGTGGTGTTTTTTATGTTGCATTTTAGGTTCACCCTAATAGCAGTGATTATAATCTCATGTGGACAGGATCACACTTGAAGCCCTGCATGCTGCGTTCCCTTACAGATGTTCAGAAAGTCAACCATTTCCCTAGGTAAGACCTTGATACCATGTTTGTTGAACATCATTGTGGTGATTTCCAAAAATCTGAACATAGATAACCCCTGAAAAATAGAGCATATATGGTACTATAAAATCCCAACAGACTGGGCCAGTGCCACTTGCTGTCTTCATTCTTAATGGTCTTTGGAGTTTTTAGGGAATAGTAGATCAATGAAAATGTTGTCTGTAGCCCAAATATTGGATTTAAAATTTTATTTTCTTTATTTGATGATAGATTATTTGTGACTGATATTTTTTAGTTAGAGGGATAGTCCTATGTCCCGAGCTAAAGTTTGTATACCACTGTTATAATCAGTTGATAGCCACCATTATAACAGATTGCTGTGCTTCAGTCTGTCTTGGTAATTGGAAGAAGTGCCACAAACGATATTAATACAGCCATAGGGTAGAGGCAGTAAAACTCAAGAGTCAGTTATGGTTTAGACATCTGACAGGTTAGGGTTTAGACATCTAACAAGGCTACAGATATTCAGTAACTGGGACAAAGGGTTGCTGTAATGTCAGGGAAGAAATAGATGCAGTCTCTTGTTTTGGCACTTCAGGTCATACGAACTGACACGAAAGGACAGACTGTACAAGAATGTCTGCCGAATGCAGGTGACCCATGGGTTCAAGACATTCCATATCTTACCTCAGACCTTTATCCTCCCGACAGAGTACCAGGACTTCTGCAGTAAGTGAATAGCTGATGATGCCCAGACATAGAACAAAATAATGGGATGTGAGGGGAAGGGAATTATTTTTAATACCCTAGCCTTTTGATCATGCCAGTGGTTAAGGTAACAAAATTAGAGGAAGCTGGGAAGACAGTAGGAAAGGTCCGCATGATTTCATTATGTAATTTCTACTCTGCTGTTTACTCCATGCCTGTGTAAGTTTTCAAAAAGCTGATGTGGGGTTAAGACACTAAAATGGAGTTTTTATGTGCACAGTGTTCTTGATGATCAGCTTCACAATCACTGTCTAATGCCTGGGAGTACTGAAGTGAGAAGTACCAAAAGGAGGCATAGGGCAGAAGAATGAATCTATCAGAGCAACATGGGGGGCTTCAGGGAGGGGCTGTAATAATTGCAGTGATTCCGAAGGTGTGAAATAACACATTGAAAGAGCAGACTTTGATCTCCTTGTGGAGTTCTCTAAAGCATTTACTGTAAGCAACATTCTTGATTCTTGTTCCCCTCCTAATGAGCAAAATGGACAATGTTGCAGACCTGTGCTGTTTTCTTTTAACCAGATACCTATTCTAAGGACAGAGGCCCGTGGATAGTGAAACCTGTGGCCTCTTCCAGAGGTCGAGGTGTCTACCTGATAAATAACGTAAGTGTTCACTAAAAGGACTGTTCTTCAGTAACGATGTCTTCAGAACTATGTTGGCTTCCAGGCAAGAGGCATGGAGGCATTTAACTGGACACTACCTTACTCTCAATTTCAGACATATACTGGTGAGCAATTCAACAATCCTGAGCAGATTGGAAGGCCTGCCTGGGCCTGTGCTGTGTAACCAAAAGCAGTCTCTTTTTATGCTGTGCTCATCTTGCAATCTACCTTCAAGTCTTAGCTTATTAGGAGCAAGTTTGTATTCCCTGAGACAGTTTGGGAAGCTGTGCTGCTTTATGCTCTCTTTGTGGCTGACAGTAGGCTGACCTTGTGGAGATTTCCAGAACTGCCCTTAGTTATTTCCCTGTGTGACCTAAACCATCCTCAAACAGACCCCTTGTCTTGCACTTCTCGCACATGGAAAAGACCAGTTTAAATGAACCTTGATTAAGTAGGAAGTGTGTCAATCTTAAAGCTATGTATCTAAAGGCCAGTGGGTCCTTCCTGAGGTGTTATGGGAATAGTTCTTTGAAATTGCAGGTTGTAGTGCCTTTTGCTCTTTGTGGGCTTTGCAGGGAGTTAGGTTGTCATAGGTAACAAATACATCTGAACTGGAGCCAAACACATGAGGGGATTCCAATAAATATACTCAACAGCAAAATGACTGAGTCATTTTGTTTTCACTCATTCAAACCCCTTTAGCCTTCCATGCACTGAAAGGGTCATGCTGCCTCATCTGTTCTCTACTTGGATCATTTCCCATAAAATAAGGGAGCAATTTGCCAAGTGTATGAGGTAAGTATTTCCAGAGCTACACTCAGTTTTTTCTTTGCTTGAAAGGGAGGAATGAGCTCAGGCTCACATGGCAGTTGGCCATGACCTGGGGAAAATACCCTTCTGGGACCAACATCCCTTTGTGTATTTCTGTTTGAGAAACACTGCAGTTAGTTTGGCCCACAGGCCAGTTTCCTTCAGTGTTATGCCCTTAAAAAAGTGTCTTTCAGAGCCTCATTACAAAAGTTTTTGAAAACAATAACCCCTCCAAACAAATAACAAACCTTTGCATTTCTCTGATCTGTATAGAGCAGCGCGTCACTTCTGTGTGATATTCTGAGGGAAGTTGAGCTTGTTTTCTCACATTCTATATAAGCATTTTATATGCTTAGGTTTTCTGCTCATGGTGCTGATGTTGTGGCTGAATAGATGCAAAATTGAATAAAGGCAGAATCCTGTGATTTTCTTGCCTCTTTTCCAAACTGAAGGCAAGAAAGTGAGAGCCTCTGTTATTTTCTTGTAACTGAGGTTACAAGAGAGCCTTGCATACAGCAAAAAGTAAAAGCTTTTTCAATAGATCCCATAACTTTGTGACATGTATTTGTCATAGCTTGAGCTTTCTGTTCTTACCTACAAGTGTAACTTCTTTTGCGTACAGGAGCTCCTGCTGTGAACTGAGACTCAGTAGAAGGTAGTCAAAAAGACTGGATATCAGCCCAGGATGTAGTTATAAAGATCACAAATTAAGTAATTTTCTTCACTTGTGACTTCCTTACCATCTGTAGTTAAATATTCCATCCTGGGTCTTCTAAACCTCTTCTCCATGTCTTTGGTTAAACCCTAGAGAAGCAAACTGAGTAACAGGTACTACTTAGATGTGGGGTTTTTTTTCTCTATTGTGCATCATAGCCATGTGGCTGTTAAATGTGTATGCTACTCTGAGTATTTTACTGGAAAACTCAATGAGCAGGTTTTTTGGTAATGTAATCATTCTCTTGAGGGTCTAAATACCTTAAATGTGTTGTGAGTGACAGTTATGTGTAGGCACACAGTTTGTGGTGATTTGGAGTGGGGCTGTGGCCCAGCCTCATCCCCAGTGGGCACAGCTGTGAGCAGCAGGTGGGCAGCACTGACAGCAATGAGCTGTGGAGTGCCCAGGCACTGACCAGTCACAAAGGGAACAGAGGGCACACAGGTGCAATGCATGAACATGAGGGGTATAAAAAGTTGGGCTGAAGAACAAGAAGGGCAGATGCTTGAAGCCTTCTGACGTGGTATGGTGTTACTGTATGGGCTGAAGTCTTCTGATATTGTTTGGTGATAATCTGTGTATGGTGGCTGTTTCAACTGTGGCATATGCTTTGACAATTATGTTTTTTCATTTTGCTTTTATTTCTTCCTTCCCCAGACATAGTTATTTGTATAGGGTAGCTGTACCAACCTCCTTTAGGATGGAAAAGCAGGAAAAAATGGTGGATTTGATCTAATTTCTTCGTATTCCTTACATCTGATTTTTTTTTTTTCACTCTTAAATTCTCTGTTCTTCTGCAGCCAAACCAAATTGTAGTGGAAGAAAACATCTTGGTGTCTCGTTACATCAGCAATCCCTTGCTCATAGATGGTGAGTGTTGCTTAGGAATTGCTCTTCTCCCTTCCCCCAACCCTGCATCTAAAGATCTCTGCAGCCTTTGGAAGAGTTTAGTTGAATAATTGAGTGCTCTAGCTTGGTCTAGCATCAGACAAATCTAACTAGAGAATTCATTAAAACCTGGAAGCTTGACAGCTGGGATAGGTTCAGGCACCTATGTCAGCAGCAGATAATGGGTTATTGCTCTCAGTCTATTGAAATTCCTCAACTAGTTATGATGTCTGAAAGATACTTACAGTTATCTTGCAAACTGTATTTCAGATTTCAAGTTCGATGTGCGTCTCTATGTTCTGGTTACATCCTATGATCCACTTGTTGTCTATCTCTATGAGGAAGGATTGGCCAGGTATGGGAGAAGTCTTTGTTTTTTTGGTGTATCTGCATTTGGTGATCTAGACATTTCTTGGCTTGCCTCTCTACTCCTGAAGCAATAGTAAAATGAGAGAAGTACCAGTTAGGGAATTCTGCAGAGTTTAAGTAGATGATACTTCATCATGCTGTGTCCCATCAGGTTTCTTCATCTAGATGATATGATCTTGAGTGAGGGATTTTATTGTTTTTATGTATAATGTTTTTATTCTGCAAGATAACAATTTTCCTTTGCATGTAAATTGTGAAAGACACTTAGAATCAATACTCATCTGCCAAAAATACCTGTTTTTCTTTGTCCCAGAAGTTTAGCAAAATATTTGTCTGTAGTAACTAATAGATTTGAAGCAATCACCTCTCTGAATTCCCAACAGATCAGAATTTTAACTGTAGTGATGTTTGAGAAAAGAGCGCCATACAATTGTCTTCAGGAACAGTTTCAAGTAATGCTGTATCTTTCTTATAATCACTCTGATGTATTCAAAATATCTCTAGGGTTCATGTCTGATATGTCTCAGACTTGGGTAGATACTGAATCCAAATTATCTTTGTCTCAAGAAGATAATGAATTCCAAAGAATACATAAATAATGACTCCACAAGAAATATCTGTTAACCTGATGAACACCATTCAGGTGTGTTGTGATGTGCCTCTGCCTGCAAAGATAATGTGAACATGTTTTTCCCTAAAAGGAGGCAGAAAGGGGGAGCTTATCTTCATAAGTGGAAAGCTTAACAACTATTCCACTTTAGCAAGGGAGCCTTAAACATGACAGACATGCAAGACTTTTCTCTTGGAAACTAGCAGGTAAATTGTAAGCTGCTAATAATTGCATGTTTTTCAAAAGTGAAAAGGGAATCAAGATAGTGTAGAATTCCATCATGTTCTCAGAATGAGCAGTACATAGCAGGCCTTCAAAAATAGGATTTGCAATGTCATTAATATCTTAAAGGTGGTTCTGGTGATCTTGTAACAAAGGAGTTTACATCTGGGAAAATCCATCTGTATAAACACAAGTGTTCTATTCTGAGGATAAGTCTGCTTTTTTTGCCAGTAGAGTAATATACTTTGAGGCTAAGTGTGTGGAAATGTGTATCTGAGTATCTATTCAGAAACACCAGTCTCAGCAATTCTGGACTCTGTCTTCCATGCCCATCTATCAGCAATACTTGCAAATAACTTTTCAATGTTCTGAAATCCTGGGCAGTTTTATGTGTGTTTAGAGTCCATTTGTTTAAGTTATAATTAAATCTGGTGACCATGGTCGTGACACATGACAAGTGGAACATATGTCTACAGGACACCACAGTATTACTATTTAAAGATCTCCTTTCTTTCAAATTGCATTCCATTCTTCAGCTTTCTTGAGAGGTAGATAGTATATGGAGACTAAATGTGGCACTAAGTATCTTATGGTCTACTCTACCAGTACAACTATAGAAGAGGTGTGGAGGAAATGAAAATAATGAGCCGTTATCTCTCTTCCAAGAGAGTTATCTGAGCTATGGTGGGTAGCTCTGATTCTGTTACTGAACTTCAACAGCCCACTGAGCAGTTTCAGCTGAAGTGTCAGCTATGGCTAAAGACTTGTGGTTGAATACTTTCATGTGATAGCTGTACGTTTATTGCAGACAGTATCTTTAATTATCCTTAAGCTTTTCCCAGATACTGTGGCTGTACAGCTGGTATGTACATGCTGCAAGTGCTGGCAAGCTCTCTTTGGAGGACAAGGCTCAAGGTGAGCAGAGGCCGATAAAACTTTAGGTGGGCTGTTCTGGGTGGCCTCCAGATGGCACTAGTGGTCTTCAGTTGCAGCAATTTGTGTTTTCCCCATAACCCTGCATTCTCAGATTCAGTTGGTGAGAGGTAAAGAACCTGGAGTTACTGGATTATGGCCTCCTATTTAGCTGTTTTTCCATTCATTTTCATGTGAGTTATGTGCTGGGACAGATCATTGTATTGCCTCACATAGTGTAACGCTTTGGTTTAAAGCTGGGACAAAAGTTTAGCTCTGCAAGGGGAGGGAAATGTTTGAACCTGGGGGAGTAGAAGCTGCTTTTAATACTTTGCTCAAGGAAAAAACAAAAGATGCTGCCTAAGGGTAGAAACAATTTCTAGCAGAGAACTGGGAGGTATTGTCAGGACCTGGAATCAAAGGTAGTGTAAAAGCAATCCAAGGTGAAAAATACGAGCAGAACAAAGCAGTCTGGTTTTGGAACCTCAGCTAGTGCTTGTGATGTACTATGGTGACTTTTTGAATTTGCTTTCTGAAGGCAGATGCTCTCTGAAGTGTAGTAAGGATGGCCTAGTTTGGTGTTTTAATTTTTTGTTTCCGTTTTCTTTCTCTGAAAGGTCATGTTCGTCTCTAGTGTTATGCTTTGCATATTCCGAGAGGAACCCGACTGTTTTGGTAAACTTGGTGGCCTCTACCAGAAAAGGAGTGCTATGAGGAAACCATAAGATGTAATGATCTTTACAAGGAGATATTGTTTTGGTATAACAAACATTTGTGATATTTGACTGGGTATTTCCTTAGCCTTTGTTTCTTCTGGTACAGCTAGACTTGTCATGACATGATCTAGAGTGGAATTTGAAGCTTCAGAGCTGAGGAGAAGTAAGAGATTGTGGATCCAACATTTTTGTACCTTCTATTTCACTTTCCAGTTTTCATCTGAAGGTGACAGGAAGGATATGTACCCAGATGTGTGTAACAAAGCCTTCAGCTGTTGTGCTGGAAGTACTAAATAACTTTGGCATGGGCAAACCAAATTGTTACCTCTCTCTTTTTTATTTTTTCTTTTTTAATGCATTTTTCAGGAAGATAATGACTTCAAAATGTTTGTTGGGGGCTTTTTGTTTGGGTTTTTTCTGTTTGTGTGGTTTTTTGTTTTGTTTTTTAAGATTTTTTGTTTAAGGTTTTTTTTTCCAGCTTATCTTCTAAAAGACTACCGAGTAGAACATAGGAAGCACTCATGTTGAGTAGGTTCCTTTTCTAGCTATTTCCACCCTACTTCTGTGGAATAAGCTGTAGAAGGGGACATAGCCTCAAGTGAACAGAGTCAACTGTCAGACTTCTGGAGAGTTAATAAGAGTGGTATCAGTGAATGTGCTGTGGCTTTATCTTTTATTACAATACAGCTTTTCTAGTCATGCTTTCCTCAAACTCTATCAAAAGTCCTTGCATATTGTGTGCCTGGTGGACCTTTAGAAGGAACACTGCTAATAGATTAATTTGGAGATATTCAGTGATCTGTTTGGAGGGAGTGGAGTGGGGATTTTCCTCTCTTACGTGAGGCTTGAAATAAGACTGAAGCTGTGCATAAGACATAAAGCAGCACAGGGTGACCTAAGATTCTCCTGTTGGATTGAACTCTGTGTTGAACACTTTTCTAGTACATATTAAAAATAAACACAGTGTACTGCCATACATCTGTTAAATTGGCAGATATTTAGTAACTTTGTACTGGAAAAAACAATTATAATGTAGATTGGTTGTCTGTGATCACAGCCTGGAGAATTGTAGCTGGGACCTTTGCATTGAAGATACAAGTTCGGAAAAAGATTGTCATGGCAAGCTTGCTCCAGGTGTGCCTGATGCACACTCTGTTATCTGATCATACATTAAAAATCTCAGTAGTTTTATTTGAGATTTCCAAAACAGGCAGTGTAATATATTTATTGACATGCCTTTTATATCTTAGTTTGAATAAGAGGGTACATTGTTAATAAACCAGTCTTAATTATAAACTTTGACATGCTTTTGAAGGTGACTAACCAAGCCCAGTTATGTGGGAGTCACAAGGCTTCACTTATAGCCAACTGCTGAATTGGTGGATTATGCTGGTTTTTGGAGGGGCAGTCGTGTAAGTGGGGAATAACAAGCCTGACTTGTGCCTGAAGTACAGCTGAAGAGAACATAAGGCCAGGAATAGCTTGTGCTATTATGTGACTCATATGCTGTTCATGAGTCTTCCCTGTTTTGCTAGTTTTCTCTCCTAACTTCCCCTCCTTCTGTGTGGCAGAAAGGAGCCTGGTGGACCTCTTGCTTGGTGCCTGCAGGCGTGATGAGGGCTTGACACAGTCTGGGAATTCATAGTGAAATGGCCCCTTGTTTTGGGGAGACTTCTCGATAGTCTGCTTTATCTCTTAAACCATGTTTAGACAGCCCTATTTCTGAGCTTGAATAGCTGGAAGGGTTGTAGACCATCAGGAACTTGTCATTCAGATTCACACTGAATTTGAAAAATAAGTTAGTGAAAAAGAAAGAAAACTGATCTGAAACTCAAATGTTCTTGCAAAAGGCCCAAGGAGCAGCAGCTTAGGGGAACTTCCCAATGGCACACAAGGGTTTGATCTGGGGTTAGACCGCTGGGCTTTGCAGCACCTGCCACTAGCTGCTGTGCTGCCACCTGAGCTCACACCACTCAGCCCAGTGACACCCTTCCTTCAGTAGCCTGGCTTTCTAATTGACACTGGCTCCTCTGGGATATTTACCATTTCTGTGCTGGATTCCTGTGGTTTCCAAAGAATTCAGGTATTTGCTTTGAGCCAAGGAATTCACATTAGCTCACAGGCTGTGCTTAGGCCAGAGCTGGCTGAGCTAGCTGCAGGAGCTCCATCCCTCTTGCAGTAACCCCTGCCCAGCAGCCTCTGCTGCTTAGGGAGCGCAGCTCATTTGTTTCTGCATGGACACCTGGGGTCGGGCTACAGCCACTTCAGTAGACATTGCCACATGCAGAAGCTGTGGAGCAGTGTTATTCACTAGATGTACCTGCTGGGCTTCATGTCAGTGGATAGATTATCAAGCCAGACAGCTTTATGTTGCTTGCTTACTTTTTAATTAAGATAATCAGATTCAGATCACTGAGGTGAATAACTACTCAATCACTGGGATGTATAACTATATGACCCTACTGTTGTGCTTAACAAACAGGCTGCTAAGAGGTTGCTGACAGTCTGAACAATGAGAAACTAGAG